GGATGTAATAGAAAAATGGCTCTGGCTCCTGGAGAGAAGGGAAGCAAAGGATTTGATTAAAAAGTAAGGCAGGAGCTGGTTGGAGGGGATGTCTGGGAGGCGGATGAATCACCAGGGCCTTACGTGGGTCTGAGAGCAAGGTGAGGGGACTCTGCACACCCCTGGGCTGAGGAGCAGCACTGCACATCACTGCATTGTCCTGGGTCTCACTGCCCGTTGCCTGATGGGGATCTTGGGTTGGTGGAGCCAAAGCTGAGGTAGGAAGTTGCCCAGAGGCTGTGGACAGAGCCAGGAGTGGGACTGCACCACAGGAGAGGTGCTGCCTGGCATGGAGCCTTGGAGCTGGGCACAGGTCTTCAAATTGGGAAGCGTCAAACCCAAGGTCTGAATCCTCTTGAAAAAGAGCCAAATTGTACTGAGATGGCGTTTGCCAGTGTCTGATGTGGTGTTGGAGGTGGCTGTGTCCCTGCTCCTGCCTGCGAGCTGCTGGGGATGGAGCTGTGCCAGGCTCCTCTCTGCAGGCAGAGCTGGGTGCAGGTGCTGGTACTGACCCTGCTGGCATTTGGTGTGGGCAAACAGGCACTAAATAATCAGCAACTCATCGATCCAAGGTCACCCATGCCAAGGTGTGATCGATAGGAACGGACAGCTGAGTGGTTCTGTAATGAAGTGCCTTCACCTTAGTGGATTTGGGAGAGAGCAAGGGTATGGGAGATTAAATCCTCCTGCCATCGACAGCTCATCAAGCAAAAGATGTATTAGTGAAGAAAAATTATGCTTCCCAAGCCCTGAGGGGAGGAATCGAGCTGCTGGGAACTGTTTGTGCTCTTTGAGGGAACATCAGCCAGGAGAGCAGCTCCACTGCCTCCCAGCACCCCACTCCCAACACAGCCAGTGGGGAGCTTCCTGAGCAGTGACAAAACCTTTGAGGGCTTTGAAGGGATTAGGGAATCAGTGAGGGAATTTGCCATGGGTGATGCTGCAGCCCAGCACGAGGCCAGTGTGGATCTGGCTGTGCCACGCTAAAACCCAGCCACTGATGTCCTTCCAGCCTGATGGGCTGTGACAGCAGCAAAGGGCACCGTGACCCCCTGGCCTGGGAGCCCTCGGGAGAGAGAGAGACTGAGAAGCACCATGTTCCCAGCAGGTAGCAGGACTCGTTCCCATCCCCACGTGTGGAGGGAGGGGTTGACACTCTCTGGAGGGTCTGGTGTGATCGGACTGGTGATGTCTGAAGCAGAGGAATTGATGTCTGAAGCAGAGGAATGAGAAGTGCAGGGTTAGATTCTGCCTGCCCAGCTCTTACCTGCTCCCCCCTCCTAAGCTTGCAGCAGGAAGGCAAGAGAGTGAATAACGCTCAAACCCGTGGGGGCCTGGGGTGACAGCAGCCCCTGACATCTCCTCCACCTGTTTCTCGAGACAAACGTGCCGCTGTGATCCACGCGCCGCTTTATTGAGCTCTATTTCCTGCAGTCCAACTGCGGCGAGGGATCGGCAGCGGCGGCTCTGGCTGGCAGCGCCGAGCGGCAGAGCGGGGCCCCCGGGGCTTTATTGCCCTGCCAAAGCCCTCCATCACGGTGACACGGACATAATTACATATCGGGCCGGGAGGATGAAGCGCCCGGCACCTCCTAAACGTGTCAACATGATTTGAGAGGCTTGGGCTTGGCTGGACTTCTCAGGCATTAGATTGTGGACTCCAATCACACGGGCATCCGGGGGATCAATAGCCTCACACCTCAAGGCAGCTGGTGCCTGCTGAGGGACGGGGGCAGGGGGTGTCGGGGAGATCGATTAAGTTGATGTATGAGTTGTGTTTGGGGTTAGTCACTCTTCCTTCTTACTGAGAAGAGGAAATCTTGTGGTCAGACTGTGTCTTGGCAGCTCCATCCCACGTCAGCAGTTGCCAGCAGCTTTCCTGCAACAGGACCCCTTGGCCCCTTTTCCCCCCTTCAGCTTTCTCACCTTCTGACTCTCAGTTGGGCAAAGAGCCAAACTTCCCCTGCATGTCCCTCTCTGTCCCCCAAGTCCCTCTCTGTCCCCCATGTCCCTCTGCATGCTCGCCATGTCCACAGGACCAGGGTCTCCCCTCCATGCCAGGGAAGGTTTGCACATGCTGGCAGGATGTTCAGCTCAGCCCCTCTCTCTTCCCATTCGTTTGACGTGACAAATTAATTTCCTGGTGCAGACACTCTGCTGCAGCCCTGTGACTCTCCTGTCATGTCTCACACGGGCCTCGGCTTAGCTGGGGCCCAGGTCTGTGGCACCTGTCTGGGGCTCCCCACACGCTGCCAGCCCCAATTACCCAGTGCCACTTAAGAGAAAACACCTGCAAACAAATTGAATGTTTCTAAGTGCAAATTGGTTTTTCAATTGCTCAAGATTTAAAGTGGCACTACTGCAAAATAACATTATTTTAGGGCAGGTGTCCTTTGAATACAGATTTTATTTTCTCTTTGGGTTGTCCTGGAGGAATGTGTTGTGTGGGGAGGGCGAGGGAGCTGGGAAGAGGCACGTGCCTTGTGAAGTGCAGTAATTTTTCATCCAGCTCCTGACACTGTACAAGGCAGGCAGGTCCTGGGAGGCTGGTTGTGTTGGGATGTCTTGGATTGCCATCTGGAAACAGCCGGTGGGTGAATCTCACACCTGCACGATGGTGCTCACCTTGCAGGGAAGGGAGGACACACAGCACCCTGCAGGATACCCGAGAGGTGCCTGTGCAGGTCTCGCTCCTGTGCAGGGGGAGGACATGATCCCCTGCTCTGTAGGTTTGTACCTGAGGGATCCAAACCAGTGGCTGCCTCTGCCACAGCTCCTGGTGAGGCTCTGAGCCGAGCTCAGCACCCTCCAAACTTGCCCTCTCCTCTGCCTGCTCCTCTCTGCATTTCCCCTGCACCACCTCGGCCGGCTCGCTCAGCGGTAGGAAAGCCACGCTTGGAATAGGATGGTTGATCTTTTATGACATTTACCACCATCCTGTCGGAGCTGGTGCCTGTTTAATTCACCTGTTGCTCTGCCAGCCATCAATCACTGTAAATGTTAGAGCAGCGATGTGCACAGCAGGGTGTGCAGGGTGTGTGCAGAGCGCTGGGTGATACCCCTTCATTTTTATAGAGAGGGCATCCAAGTGTAACTTGTACTGCTGGTCCCCTGTCCCAGCATGCTGTGGCCATGGGCTGCTCCAGCAAAGCTCATGTATTTGCTTGCACCTTATTGATTTGCTGTCTCAGCTGCTTGTCCCCCACCCAGCAAACATCCCCCCCCTTTTAGGGAGCAGGAGGCTGCTCAGGAGATTGAAGCGGTGAAGGTTTGCAGGGTTTTGCAGCAGTTTGCATCCCAACAGCCCATGTAACAGCCCATCCACAGCAAAAAGCTCAGCAGAAAAACAAATGAAGATAAAGCAGCCTGAGGTCTCACTTCTTGCCCTTTGCAAGAAGAAATTATATTAAAACACCTGCGAGCCCTTGTGTAATAACAAAGCTGAAATCCCAGTGACACCCTGTTTGGGTGCAGGAGGGGTTGAGCTCACTGTTCCTGCCACGAGCCAGGACTGTGATTGATCTTTCAGCACAGAGAGGAAAATGCACCAACTTTGTGTGACTGATTTTTGCAGTGATGGTTTGCACAGCGATGCTGCTGGAGCTGTGAGCTGTGAGGTTGGGAGGTGCAGACCCTGTGCAGTCGAGGAGTCCTGTGTTCCCACCCCAAACCCCCCTCCTGGGATCTTTGCGGGTCAGTGGCTGAGAACTGGGCTGTGCCCTGGGATGCAGCCCCACGGGAGCTGCTCTGACAGCAGGTGGGAGCAGCACTGGACCAGCTGCCAGGGCTGTGGGACGAGCTCCGAGCCCGTGTGCTGCTTTGGGGGCAGGAGCAGCTGTTTGTGCACGTGCAGATGTTCTGAGCAAATCTCTAATGCTCACACCTGGGCTTTGAACCTTGAGGGCTGTTCTCAGGCACTGGCACCTCGGATGTGAGGCTGGCTTGGGAGTGAGCTGACGAGTGTTCCTGCTTGGGTTTGGGGTCTCAGGTTTTGAGCCTCCGTGAGCGGTGGGTTCTCCTTTGCTCCCCAGTCCCAAGAGACAGGCTCGCCCCTCTTTCCAGAGGAAACCCAAGACCCTCACTCCTTGTCTCAGGTTTCCCAGGCTTGCTGGGCATGGCACAGTGTGTGGGCTGCTCCAGCGTGGTGCTGGCATGGGCTGCTCTCGTCCCTCCACCCAGGCTGTGCGGGAAGGCCCTGGGTTACACCTGGCCTGCAGGTAGCTGAGACTGCCCCTCCAGAGGGGCTGGTTTATGGGTGCTGAGCATGGGGGTCATGGGGGGATAAAAGGGGAAGGAGGGCCTTTGCAGGAGCGAGGGGGTGATGGCCAGCCTGGGAAGGGGAGCCCGTGGGCTCCAGCGGGTGAAGGGGAGGCTGCAGCAAGTGCTCCCAGCTGATTCCCTAAACCCTCGAACATGAGGATTTATAAGGGAACGGCTGCCAGAGCAGGAGCCAGCAGGGTGAATGGAGCTGCTCTAATGGATATTAAGTGATTTGCGAGCCTGCTGCTTGCAAACACAGCTGTAAATAGAAAAGAGGAGGGGGGAGCAGATGAAGGAGGCTCAGACTCTTTAGTGGTGGCGTGTGAAAAATGGGGAGAGGTTCCTGGGCAGGGCTGGGGCAGCCAGAGAAACAAAAGCTGCAGCATCTATTTTCATATCTTTTATGTCTTCCTTGCACTTCATCTTGTTTAGCTCCGCAATTAAATTTTAAGACGCATAAGAGTGTTCGCTTACACACTTGGATTCTTCGCAGATTGAATTATTTAATAGAGTGTGGAGCGGCTCCACGATCTCGGAGCTGTGGCACCGAACGCAGCCAAGCAGAAAATTAATAAACAGAGCCTGCCGCGCCGCCCGCGCTCCCCCTGCCGCCCCCTCCCACCCCCAGCTCCAGCCTGTCCTCTGCCATTTCCTCCTTCCTTTCCTCTCTACTTCCTCCTTTGCTTTTGCCGTTTGTCCTCCTGCTTACACCTCTCTGGTGTCACTTCAGCCTTGTGGGGTCCCGTGGGCTGGAGGGTGCAGGGTGAGTGGTGATGTCCAGGGTGAGGGGGGATGTCCAGGGTGAGGGGGGATGTCCAGGGTGAGGGGGGATGTCCAGGGTGAGGGGGGATGTCCAGGGTGAGGGGGGATGTCCAGGGTGAGGGGGGATGTCCAGCCCATGCGGCTGCAGGGGGGAACAGGGGACAGGCTGGCTTGGACAATGGGCTGGTTGGACCCCATCCATGTGGGAGCTGTGGCAGTTCCATCCCTGTCAGCTTGGTCTGTGGGTTGTGGGGGAAGCCCCTCGCCCAGGGAGTGCCCTGCATCTCTTGGCATCCCTTGGCCTGGAATAAATTGTGTCTCAAATGCCGTCAGCTTTCTCTCTCCCCTTCTTCCTTGTTCCCCTGCCAACAAAGTTGTTCTTCTCTTCCTTCCTTTCTCTTCTGGTAACCTTTCCAGGCAACAAATTGCAGGGGGCAATTACGCCCTGTGCTAAAGAGAGCATTAAGCCAGGCACAATTTCCGTGGAGGATGTTGCTCGGCAAACAGCAATACAAAAGCGGTCTGTGAAATTCATCAAATTGCCGGTTGGCTGAAGCACACATTTACAATGCACTCGGAGCCCCGGCGAATTATCTGAAATCAGTTTGTTATTTCTTTTCCTTTTATTTCCTCCTTTTTACAAGGAAGCAAATAAAAAGGTTTGAAAATTGCTGTTGAAGAAGGGGTCTGGCCTCGGTGATCCTCGGAGATGCTGGCGCTTTTCCTCCGTCGATTCTTGGCTGGGATGTGCTGAGGTGTGTGGCTTTTAGTGTGAGTCTCTCTCACTCACAGAATCATTGAATCCTCAGTTGGTTTGGGTTGGAAGGGACCATCTTGTTCCACTCCCTGCCATGGGACACCTTGCACTGGATGCACTAGATCAGGTTGCTCCAAGCCCTGTCCAACCCGTCCTTCTTCCCGCAGAGCCTCCTCTCCCGGCTCCTGCCCCTCATGCTGCTCTTGTGATGGCTGTTGGACCTTGTGGTGGCATTTCATGGGGCCACCCTACGTGGCTGACAGCAAACAGGCATCAGTAAGTCCAACTGTTGTGCTCACAGAGCCCAGTGGTCTCCACATCCCAGCCCTGTGTGCAGAACCAGTGCGGAGCCACTGGCTGTGATCCCCAGCACTGCTCTCCTCAGGGAGGGAGCTGCTGAAGAGCATCCTTCCCTCCCCAAAAGTTAGGGGGGAAGCTTCCTGCTGGATTGAATTGAGATTATTTCTTCTCCTTTCCTGACTATTTTTCTTTTTCCAAACGCTGCCTTCCCCTCTCCTCCCCGAGGCTTTTTGGCGAGTGTGAGGGCGGGGGGTCAGGCAGTCCTGCTTTCCTGGCTGGGTGGAAATAGCTCTTGTGGAATTGAAATTCTGGAGGGAATAGCAGGGACACAGCAGAGAAGCAGCTGAAACACCTCTCTAATTGCTAATCGATAACATAAAGAAGTGTTGGCCTGGCTGAAACCCGCTCCGGGGAAAAAACAAAAATCCACATGATTTGTTTCGTGATTCGAATGAGGGGTTATTTGGCTGGTTTGCGCTTTGCTGCTCCCCCTTTTGTGCTCATTGGGGTCCCCATCCCCAGGCTGGGGGTTTAGGAAGTTATCACCTGCCCCTGGGTTCCAGACCTCGTGGAGAAACTCTGGGCTCCGCAGACGGACCGACACTAATCCTCTGTGTAATTGAACCAGCGTCGTGGGTATTATTTGGCTGCTGCGAAACATTTCTGTTCTCAAGTCATATTTTTATTAGCTGTGGTGTGCCTGTGGAGCGGGTTTTTCAGTAGTAATGCTATTTCCTTGCTTTCAGTGCTGGCTGCAGCTTGGCTCCTTATTGATGTGTTACTGGGGTTCTGGTCTGTCCCAAAACAATTCCCACAGATGTGTGGAGCGGGGAATCCCCACTCCCTCAATGGACCTGTCCCCTCTCCAGGGGACAGCGACTGAGGGACATGACCAAGGAGAATTTGGCTGCACCAGCTGCCCCTGACCCACCAGTCTGCACCTTGGTTGGGGCTGGTTTGCAGCTCAGCAGGGTTATCATCATTCCTGGGTGCTGGATGGGGTTTCCTCCATCCTTTGGGAATGGGAAGGCAGGTGCATGGGACTCCCCCATCCCCGGGGGCTCCCTGCAGCCTGGATAATCCTCTCCCAAAATCCAGCTCCCACCCCAAGGGGAGGATAGTCTGGACAACAGCCCTGATGCTCCTGCCATCAGGGAGTGCTCCTGGGGAAGAAGAAACCTGGATCACTGCCACGTGCAGCTTGGGGAGGGGGCCAGGGGTCAGGCTGAGCTGCTGGGGCAGCAGGAGGGATTTGTTGAATCCTGCAATTGCCTGAATTCATTTCGATTATTGGCAGCACTTCTCTGCAGAACTAAATAAAGTAAAATAAATAAGGGAAGCAGAAGGCAATCCGGAGCAGTTAGAGAGGATCAGTGGTGAATTGAATAATTCATTCAGGAGAGGAAAGCAGCTATTTGCCATGTCACTCTTATCTTGATTGTATTTACAGACAGGAACTTTTGACAAGGAAATTACCTGTAAATTCTTCTCCTTTTTATTTTTTTTTCCTTCCTTCACTCTAGAAAATAATGGACAGGAAGATTTCCTGCGGGTTTTTTGGGTATTTTTTTGGTTTTTTTTTGTTTTTCTGAGGCAGTTGGATGGATTTCTGCAGAAAAGCTGAAATCTTGTGACCTCCCCATGAGCCCACGGGCAGCTGCTGCTCGGATGGAAACAGAGATAATGGTGGCTGGGAGCTCAGGAGGGAAAGGAGGGAAAACATTCCTTGGTGCTTCCAGAGGGATGGAGGCCCCTGTTTGTGTTTCCTGAGCTGGCTCTGCAGCAGGATGGTCCCAGGCTCCCTGTGTGCAGGTGGGTGGAAGGCACTGCTCTGGGTATCCGTCTCTTACCAGTGGAGATTTTGGGATGGGGTTTGTGGGAGAGTTGCTGGTGCCAGGGAGGCTCTGGTGGGCCTGAGCCAGCGCCTGCCACTGCCCATGGGACAGCCCCTGGTCTGGGTGTGCTGGGGGTGCCCCAACTCCTCCGTGGGCACAGCTCCTCCTCCTGCACAGCTGTAGCTGCCAGCAGTGTCCTTTGATTTCTGAAGACATCATTTGGAGTGAAAGATGGCTCAAAAAAATATTAATCCTATTGAGTTCCTTTGGCAGAGAGAGAGACCCAGGGGCTTAAAAAATTATTTACAGCTCTCACGCCTCGTTTCTGCTTCCCCTTACTGAGCGAGGGGGGACTTCTGGGATCAAATTCTGCTTTTCCATGCTAAAGAGCGGCCTGGAGTGAGTGGAACGCAGCCCAGGAGAGACTGTGCCATCCAGAAGCTCCAGCCCTGCCTCTGATTGCTGTGGTTGGTGTTCTGGGCGGTGCTGGGAGGCAGGTGCTGTTCCCAGCCCTGCCATTCGCGGGGAGCAGAGCGTGAAGCGCTCGCAGGGAGCTCTTGTCTCCGGAGCGCCGGGGCTCAGCCTCGTGGATAATTGAGTTGTTGTAATGAAGTCTGGGCTTGCTTCTTCGAGGAGGAATTTGTTTTGGAAAGAGACTCTCAACTTAATTTAGATTTCATGCTGTTTCCTAGCACTTGGCTGTCGGTGTTGTTGGTCTTACGGGCCGGTTTCTCCTTGGGGTAATTCCATGGGTGTTTAGTGGGGCCGGGACGTGGCTCTCTGAGTAGTTTAGGGGTGGAATAACCAACTGAAATGGAGGAAATATGGGGATGGACCTCCCGGTGCCCCCTTACCCAGGGAGACAAACACCATCTCCAGAGCACCAGGATTTCTCACGTTGCTGCTCTCTGGGAAAGTCCCCTCCCCTGGGCTGGGTGGATCCTTCCCCGACTCCATAACCCATCAGTTTCTGTAAACAAATGTAAAAGCAACAAGCAAACAGGCTCCCTTCCCTTGGTTTGTGTGTTTTGGTTTTAAATATTACGTTTCCAGGGATAAATGTTGGCAGCACTTGAAATAGGACGTATTAATTAATGAATGAAGCACTTAATTTCAGTTTAATGGGATAATCCTTTGCCGCATGTTACATAAATAGTAATTGAATATTAAGAATGTATTGAACAAGATTTCACTACTGGGAGAGATGCAGTTTATGGTATTCCTGTTAGTGCACAGCCCCAGCCTGGTCTCAGCGTGGGAAAAGTGGATTCAAAGGCTCTGAAAGTCAATGCAGAAACAGCTCTGAGATGTGTGTGGAGCACAGGGTGAGAATTCAGGATTAGGCTTTTGTTCTTCACCAATTCATGTCTTGAGCTGAAGTTGGGCTGGACAGGAGGGACCTCCTTGCACTGACTGAGCAGCTGGGTCTTTCACCAGGTGGAATTCCGGCATCCTCCCAAACATGCCAAGGATAAATGGAACCACTGGTGTGGGGGATCAGCAGATCTGGAGGCAGAGGGCTGCTGCAGTTGTCATCCAGAGCCTGGGGGCTCTGCCATGTGGGGCTTGATAGCTCTGCTGGGTCTGGGAAGCATCAGACCCAGAAAGGAGAGGATGACTGAGCAGTGGCGAGGGAAGGATGGAACCTGTGTGCCTCAGCCCCTGGGTCAGCCCAATCTTCTCCTAACCCCCCACCATAGCACCCCTGGGAGGTGCTGTCCTGCCCTGCACCCTTCCTTGCTCTCGGGGAATCTGTCACCTTCATTTTATTCTGAGATTTATTTATTGCCACTCGCTCGATTACATTATTGCAAAGTGTGAGTGATAAACCCCTTAAATTACTTACAGCTCATCCTTGTTTAAGGGATAATTAGTGTGTTCTAAACAGGGAGTGATTCCTCACAATGGGAAATCTAGCCTTTAAGGATATTTCCCCTGTAACTTATGTTGCATAATTCAGCACTGATTACACAAGTATTTTATTCTGTCTTGCCCTGAAACTTTCCCTCCTTCCCTTGCCTGGGCACTGCAGAGCATTGCTCAGTGAAGGTGCTGCAGGTCCTGCTCAGGGCACTGGCCGAGGGCTGTTCCAGCACCCCGTGGCAGGGAAATGGTGCTGGGTCCCCTAAATCCTGCATGGCTGGAGCAGCAGACCCTGAGATGCCCCCACTGGCTGCACCCCCGTGCTGTGCCCACCCAGCTCTGCCAGCTCCACCAAACCCCCACATGTGGCTGGTCTTGGCTGAACCCGAGCCTGGTGCTGGGCATCGAGTTGATCTCAGAGTTTCTCTGGCTCTTATTTAATTGGGTTTATCCCTGGTCACAAAAGCTGCCTCAGCCCTCCCCCCGTGGCACTGCAGCCTGTCGGGTGATGGACGCGGCAGGGAGGGAGGTGATTTAGGGCTGTTTCACGGCAGGTGCAGGGGATGGGGAGGATGGAGACATATTTCACTTGTGACTCAGATCCTGCCACCTGGGAGCGGCGGTGACAGGTAGGGAGAGCTGCTGCAATTCATCTCCAGGGCTGGGAGGAGCTGGAGCCTGACGGCAGAGCTCGTGGCAGGAGTTTGGAGCAGCTCTGCTCTTGCTGGGGACGGTGGCTTAGCTGGCACAGGGGGGTTTAGGGGGAGGAGAGGGGTGTCAGAGTGGGGGAGGCTGTGCCTGACCCGGTGCTGCTGTTCCTGTGTGGAAGCAGCAGCTCCACAGGGTGTAGTGAGGCTGTTCCTGTGCAGCCCAGTTCTCTCTCTGTGCTAATTAAATGGGACAGGAACACAGACCTGGCTTTGCTGAATGAGAAATCAACTGGAAGGTGGCTCCTTTCCTGAGCCCTGCTGCTTCAGCAGCCGGACTGGAGGGAAGGTGGGAGGAGAAGAATATCCCTGGATTAAATGTAATGAAAATAAATATATCAGCTCTGCGAGGAGCAGACGGGGCCCGTTTAGGAAACAGCAAGTCCAGCTCATTCTTCAGGAGCTGTAACTTTTGTGCTGGCTCAGAGCCTGCTCAGTGGCTCGGTGGCTTTTTGGGAGGTGCAGGAATGCTGCCTGGGAGGTAGGAGAGACAGCCAGGGAGACAATGATGGATGAAGTGATGCTTCATGGAGCTGGCATATGCCTGACGATGGGCCCGTTATGCTGGATGTTAAATACCAAATGGTGATTAAACGGTGCTGGGGTGGAAGGACAGGGGTGGAGGACAGGGAGTGGGACCTGTAGAGCAGCTCCTGGGGGCTTCCCTCTCCAAAACTTCCTCCCGAGCTGCACAGAGGTGTGGGGGCTTCAGGGGGCCCTTTGGTCCTTTACCGGGCTGTGCCGGGCTCAGCCGGCTCCCCCGCCGGCGCTCGGGGCTGTTTGCGGGCAGGGCTTGGTCTGGGGCTGTCTCAGCCTCACCGAGTCTCACAGTGACATTGCCCGAGGTGAGGAGCAGAACAGGGATGCTCCAAAGCCAGAGTGGGGAAGGACAGAGCGAGAGATGCAGGATGAAGGATGGGAAAGGGCTGGAGGAGAGGATTAGGGGAACAGTAATAGGAAGTGAAAGGAAAACAAAGTTCAAGTCAGGCCCCGTGGACAACAAATGCCAGGAAGGTTGGGTGGTCAGGAAGGCTCTGCAGAGGCTGTGGGATCCTTCAAAAGGCAATTAAATGCTCTCCTGGGGGAATGGCCTTGCTGCAGAGAATAACCACTTGGGACTTTTTCAGTCCCTGCTGTCCTTAATAATCTTCCAGCAGCTTGAGCCAGCTGGTGGCTGAAGGCAACAGCCAGGGCTTCCTGGAGGAGTTGGGAAAGTGCCTGTGAGCAGGTTGTTTGGTGTCACACAGGATGGGGTGTTTTGGGGAACTGTGCAAGGGAGGAATTGCCTGAGAATCTCTGCCTCAGGCCACAGGTGTCCCAAAAATCCAGAATCCAGTGTCCCAGGGAAGAACAGGGGGATGGCCTGCTTGCCTTTTTTTTTTAACTTCTCCATTCCTGTAGGAACAAGTTACACGAAAAGATCTCGGGAAGTATGAAAACAATAATAATTCCCTTCAGCACAGCAGTTCTGGGACAGCTGATCTCCAGAGTGATGCTCTCACAACTCGGAGTGTGTCGGGAGGCAGCCGGGATGGAAGAGGCTCCCCCAGAGCAGCCTCTGAGACACCCCAACCCCACAGCAGTGCTGGCACCCTGTCCCCCCATCCAGACACCGAGCTGGGGGCACAGGGTGTGGGTGATGTTGGCACTGGGATGTCCAGGGGCTGTGACTGGAGCTGGAGACAAGCGCCAGGCAGCGCCTTGAAGAGCAATTTACATTTTAATAAAGAAAGTTGTATTTTTTCAGTAATTTGCATTTAAATCAACTGTGTTTCATAACTGAGCGTCCCTCTTAAAGGGGCACTCAGGACTTTACTGAGCTCAAGGGGAGGATACTGGAGGGGATTTTCCTTATCCTGCTCAAACTGGGGGCTAATAATGTCACTGTTTTTGCTCACAGGTGGTACCTGCTGTGTGCTGGAGCATCCCAGATTCTTCCACGGTGCTGACCATGTTGGAGCAGCCCTGGCATGAGCAGCAGAGTGGAGGTGGCACAGAGGAGACCAGGGAATGTTCTCTGGCACAGGGAAAGGGTATCTGTCAACACCTGAGCAGAAGGGGGGCAGGTGCAGACATGGCCAACCTGGGTGAAACTGGGAAATGGCCCTCAAAGGGAAATGGGAGCAGAGAGAAACATTTGTAGAGCAGAGAATGTAAAGGAATGATACATTTTTAAACCTGTTGGGGATGAACTTGGGTATTCTGTTCCTAACAAATTTGAAACTTTTCTCCTTTTAGTTCCTCTTTGTACTAACGCTGTTCAGGCTCCAGCACAAAGCACAAGATCTTGAGGAGAGCTGGCACTTGTGGAGGCAAACCAGGAGGAGATGGTCTGTTCTGAGCACCTGGAAAGCTTCTCCCCTTCCAAGCGGAAGGAACTTTTACTGCTGTTGAGAAGTTGCTATAAAAGCCATTTTCCAGTGCAGAACTCGTGGCAGAGGGGCCTGTTCCTCTGGGTCTCTGGGTGATGGACCCTGTTCTCTCCCGAGCCCACCCGCAGAGCCCTCTCCCCTCCCCACTGCCCGGGGTGCCCGGCCCCCCTGTCCCCAGGAGGGCCCTCTGGAAGGTGCCATCTCCTCGCAGTCGCTTTTGTTTGCAGACAGTGAGTTTTCCATCAAAGCTGCTGCTGCCTTTCATCCCTGGGAAGAGCTGCCCGTGGGCACAGCCTTTAACCGGCTGATTGAGCGATCCGGAGCCTTTCATGGTCCTGCTTTTATCTTGGGAATGGGGCTGCTCTCCTTGGATTCGAGGGCTTAGGGGAGGGTGGAGGGGTCGGGTGTGAGCATCGTGCTGCCCCCACTGTGCTCCATCCCTGGTACCCCGAGGATGGGAGGATGGGCTGCAGCACAGTCCTGCTTTTCCCCCTGGAGCTGCCACTGCTTTCTCCTCAGAGGACAGAAAGCCCAAACGTTCATTTTAATGTTTAATGCTCTTCACCGAGGTGAAAGCAGAGGGAGGAGGGGGATCGCTTCCTATTTAAGGGCCTCTGTCAGTGCCCGGGTGTTCAGGTGGGAGGGTCATGGGCTAAATCCCACCCCAATTAACCTCCACACTGCGCAGCGGGGAGATGGTTTGGAGGAGGATTCGGCAGAGCAGCTGCTGAGCTCGGCACAGGGAGATCTTACAGCGTGACCGGGACACATCGCTGCCGACAGCCGAGGAGCTGCAGGGTCTGCTTGGCCACCATCCAGGAGGTGACGGGACGAGGGTGAGACCTGGCTGGTCCCCTCGTGCGGCCGTGCTGGGGATGCTGAGACACCACACGGTGCTGTGTCACCCCCACACCTTCCTCTGAAAGATGGGAGAGGCGAGGGGGGGCTGAGTAGCAGCAGGTATAATTCAGTTTGATTTCTTCCAGACTCTTCATTTGCTGAACGTGTCAGCAGCCCTGTTGTATATGGGCTGTTCTGTATCAATTTTCTGCGATGCCAGGCCATAAATAAAGAAAATAAATGTTAGGCCCGTTAATCAGTTGCTGCTCACCCAAATGAGTTCCTTCTGCATTTCCCTGTTCTATAATTACTTGTCACCTCTTGCTGGTTTGTAACTTCTCGCTCTGTGATTCTGTTGGGTGGCTTTTCCCTGTTTCTGATGGGATCAATCCGTTTTGTGCGTGGCTGGGATTTTGTTGGTTGGGTTTTTTGTTTGGTTGGGTTTTCCCTTTGTTTGCTTTTTGGTTGTTTGGTTTGTTAGTTTGTTTTGGGGTCTTGCTTCTTTTCCCCAGGTGGAGGGTGCTAAAAAGCAATTGACTGTAGGAGGTTTGTTCCAGCTGAGGAGCTGAGGGAGAACAGCTTCCACCAGAGCTGTGTTTTAATTTCCAGAACAGGGATTCCCGGCACCGGTTCTGCAGTTCCTGCAAACAGACTTTTTGCAAACCCACGTTGGTGTAAGCCCAGGGTTGCTGCTGGGAGGTGGCTGCAGTGGGACCACAGGAGCAAGAGCAGGTGCTCAGTGCTTGTCCCCTCTATCTGTCTGTCTTGTTTTCTGCAGCTGTCCCATGCTCTGGAGGAGTGGAGACAAGGATCCTGCCTCACAGCTCTCCTCTGCATCAACCTCCCAGGCAGGAATCCGCGGTGATCGATCACTGCTGGTGAGGACCACTTGAAAGCAGACAAGTCTAATGGGTGAGGAACAGCTGTGGAAGCACAGTGTCATTTTTCAGCCAGGCCCTCCACGCTGGAATCCAGAGCTGCCTTCCCCTCCCTTCCCCTGGTGGGGCAGCCAGGCTGTGGTGTGGGGCCATCAGGTGGTGCATGTCCTGTGCTCCCAGAATGTTTCATTGAGACAACAGGGTTCCTCCCAGCTCGGGATCTGTCCTGGGGTTTTCAGGCAGTGGAGAATTTCTTGTCTTTGCCCTGGGTCTGTTCAGGCAGCAAGACACGACAGATCCTTCCTCTGCCCCTTTAAAATCTTTCAGGATGTGAGGATGACAGATGTGGATCTGGGGTCTCCAGTGGGATTTGGAAGGACAGAGCCCAACCATCCATCTGGTCGGGAGCTCGGCGCTGCCACACAACCTGCGAATCGCCTCTGGCCTTGGCTCCTCCAAACCCACAGCGTTTCTGTGACAGGATGGGGGATGCAGAACTGTTGTTTGTGTTCACAGAAGCTGGAGATCAGCTGCACCTGCCCTTTGGGGGGCTGAGGCTGAGGCTGATTGAGACGGACAAGGCTGTGCGGGAGCAGACTCAGGCCAGTCGCTGGAAAGACCTTACCGCCAGTCTGGTGCAGCCCTACATTTCCCCATCAGTTATTTATCAGCATAAAAGAATTATTTATCAGGATAAATAAAAAATTATTTATCAGGATAAATAATTATATATTGGTGCCATAGTGGATGCAAATGATTTAATTAATAATACACGCTTCAAGAGGAATTTGCAATTTAAAGGGCTGTATAAAAGCCTGGTATTAGCAATACTTATTTTTATTAATTAATTGAGCTCTCTCCAAATCTCCATGGTGAATAATTTTCCCATCTTTTTCATTTTTAATTTATTTCAGTGGCTCTGGGAAGAGGAAAGGCGACCTAGCAGTGAGCTGTAGGGAAGGTGTGGGATGGGGGGTCCCCAGCCCTTGGCTGGGCTGTGGCTCATTTGTTCAGCCTTTGGTGCTGGAGATGTGGGGATTGTGGTCTGTGAGACTTGGGGTCTGTGATCTTACCCACAGGTTCTACTCTTAGCAATAGTTTCTGTTCACTTTTTTAGCTGGCACCTGTCCCCTGGGGCTGCCTTGCTGCTCTTTTGAACGGTGTGTTTGGTTGAAACTGTTTCCAAAATCAGGATACGGTGCTTGTGCTGATTCCTTCAGCACAGCAAAAGGGATCCCGGGTGGAATTTACAGCTTTGGAAAGCCCTGTCATCTGCCTGTTTCTGCTTCTCCCTTCAGCTGACGCCTCCAAACTGCCCTGCTGGTCCAGGACACGCAGCCCCTGCTGTCACACCTGCTGGAAGGGGCTGAGCTGCTTCTCCCACGGAGGCAGGAACGTGCTGGCAGGAGCAGGGAGGGCAGGAACAGGTTCCTTTCCCCTTCTCGAGGCATCCTGAGAGCCGCTCTGTCTCCCACTGAGCAGGACCCGGGGGCTGCCGGGAGGAGGTGGCAGCTCTGCCCTCGCTCTGATAGCGAAGTGCCTCGTGTGACATGTGAGTCCTGACACTTCCCTGCCTGTTTCTCTGGAGCTGGAAGGACCTGTGGGATCTGCAGCATATGGCTCGAGTCACTCTGAGCACACCCAGCACAGGCAGGCTCGGGAAAAGGGGTCGGGGAAGGGGGGAAGGAGGGAGGAGAGGCGGCAGCTGCCGCAGGGTCCTGGGGCAGCCACTCTGGGGAGGGCACGGGAACTGAGCCCATCCCAGCTTCCTGAGGTGGCTGTGGAAGCCCAGCCAGGTTTCTGGAGGAATTTGTCTTCTGTAGCCTGTGTTTAGGAGCTGGGATCTCCTGGCAGGATCCTTCTCCCCATCCATCACCAGGGTGTCCTTCCCCCTCCAAAGTCCTGCCTGCTGTAATCAGTCCTCACCGCTCAGGCAAAGGGCTCCCGGGGTGGCAAAGTGTCATCCTGCTTCCTGAGGGGGCTCTGGAGCGGACACGGGGGACAGAGCGGCCCATTCCTCTTCATCACCACCAGCAGATCAGAGCAAAGCAGTTTTGCAACAACTTTAATAAATTGATTCAATTTGGTGAGGCAAAAAGAAAGCAAAAGAGGGAGATTAAAAAGCGAAGGAGGAAATTACCCGGGATGCTCCCAGCAATTGTGGTGGATGGTAAATCTCTTCTTTATTACTCCTTTATTATTTCCAGAATCTGAAGTTTAAATAATTAAGCAGAATAAATGGCGGATGAATATTTTTATTCAAGTTTTATTTATTTATTCTCACAGGACAGATATGCAGAGAGACCCAGGCAAAGAGTTCCTCTGGTGGTGTAAATCAGGGCAGGACCATGAAGATGAATGTCACTTAGAGGAGATTTACCCCAGCTGAGCACTCAGCCTCCTAATTTTGGGAGGAAGGAGTGGAAAGCTACATAGATTTTAATAATTTTCTGTTCTGTCTCTTGTGCGATTAATTTATTTTCCAATTTAAAAGCACATCAGGTTAGGGTTTGGAGTTTTTTTTGGTAATTTAAATACATTTGTTGACAGTGCTCCTCACTCTGAAGGTCTTTTTGGGAGCCTGAGGCTGGAAAATCTCCATGTGCCTGCAGGTTTGTGCTCAGAGCATCTGCCAGGCCAGCCTGGTACCCTGGCAGGGGAGGAGGTGCTGCATCCCACAGCCTGTGCTGCATCCCGGGAGCCTCCCGAGCCACAGCATCCCAGGGGCTGCTGGAGCTCTGACCTGGGCCAGCTCAGGGTCTGGGAGCACTTACAGTGCCTGGGCACGGGTTTCCCAGGACCAGAGGCTTAATTCCTGAATAATCCTGATGTGGCCCTTGCTCTCAGTAACCCCCGCTTTTGCCGAGTGTTTATGATTTCAAAAATCAAATGGCTCTCCCGTGGCCCGGAACACTCCCCTCGGTGCTGCCAAGGCCCCAGGGATCTGGGGGTGAACACCTTGTCGTGCCTTTGCTGTTCTTGTTGCAGCTTCAATCCCGGGTCACTCTGACCCACGGCACTCCCGGGGGTCCCACGTTCCGCAGGGGATCTCCGGCTCTGGGATGTTGGGAATGGGAGGAGGAGGTGGCGGCTGCAGCGACAGCAACGGGGGCCTCAGAGAGGCAGAGGCTGTGAGCTGGTATTAACAGTGGGGCCGATTAAGGAGACCAGGAATTAAGTCGAGTCTGATACCTGTAAGTCAATAAACCCAAAGGAATTATGATGTTACGTGAAATTTCTCCTGCACAGAGAGTGGCAGAGGAAAGAGCAATCCCGTGAGCAGATGAAGAGCTGGCTCCCTGTGTTATCCAAACGTGCCTCAGAGTGTGCTGTGAGGCTGGTTTGGGCAACTGCTGGAGAGCTAGGGAGTGTAAGGTTTCAGAGGAGCACCTGGAATTCGGGAACCATCACAAGGTTCATTAGGTACCAAATGAAGGAGGATCCCTGTTGTCCTTGGAGCTGTGTGGGTCTGGTTATCCCTGCCTGGGAAGCAGGAGGCTGGGCTGCAATCCTGCCTTTGCCAAAGTGTGGCAGATCTACTGAGCATCTTTGGGAGCATTTCTGCCCAGCTCTAAAACTGGGACAGTTGTCACCTGCCTTTTTCAGAGGGTGTTGGTGGAGCCCAGGGCGGGCCAGACTCTGCTCCCACGCTCACAGCAGGGTGAGGTTTGTCCCTTCAAAATGTCACTTGATAAACAACGAGTGGTGACAAACACTTATTGTTATTCCCTTTTCCCATAACACTTATTGTTATTCCCTTTTCCCGTGGGAGTAGATGATATTGCTAAGTGACCGAATATTCATTTGACCCTTGAAAATGCAAGAGTCATGTTTAATTCATGTCTTTTATTTATAGATTTGGGCTCTTCCAGCTTCTCTCCTGCAATGGGTGACTGCTGCTCCAGAGCACAGGGAGAGTGCCTGGCCAGTGTGTGCCCAGGGCCTCTCTGGAGGAACAGCCCTGGGCACTGTGGTGGCAGGAATGCTCTGCCCATGAGCACAGGCCAGCACAGCCATGGCAGGAGGTGGGTGCAGCACTGAGGTGTGTGAAGCCAAGAGAGCATTCATTAATCACATTAATGAGGACATGGTCTGAGAGTCACACATGGATGAGAACAGGACTGAGTGGTGATGGACAGAACCAGCATGGGCTGAGTGGGTCTGGTGTGGCCTCTGGGATGCATCAGCAGGGTAAGGCAGCCCTGGGACCTGTGGCCAGGACTGGGACATAATCCTGTGTCCTGAGCAGAGGACAGGGACATGATCCTCTCCCAGCATGGCGCTGGTTAAACCACTGGAATTCAGATGGCTGTGGGCAAAGCATCACAGGGAGGAAATGGAGAAGCAGCAAAGGGAGGGAATTGCAGCCTGGAGGAAGATAAAGGGTTTAGAGAGGATGGCTGTGAAGAAAGCGATTAGAGGAAATTAAACATGGCCAGGCTGGAGGTGGAGGCTGGTGCTTTCCCCACTGAACCGTGCAGGGCTGGCGAGGGAGAGCAGCAGGAACTGGAACACGAGGCTGACACGCATCTGAGGGCAGCTGGGACCAGTTCTGGGCTGGAACCCAGCAGCACAAGGGCAAAGGGGCTGGAGGAGGCAGGAGGATGTTAATTCCTGCCTGGCAAAGCCCTGGTGCACACGCTTCATGAATCCAAAGGAGCTGTTCTGCCTCTGGTTTTCAGTCTAGTGATGGAACATCCAGTGTGGGCCTGGCACTTCCCTTGGACAAACGTCTTGCAAGGGACAGATCACCTGAGGCATCAACAGCTGCCTTGAACTCAGCAGGTTCATCACCTGGAAAGAGCCCCGTGAGATGAGTGTGTCATTCCCAGCACTCCAGAGCTCTGGCTGGACGCTCGCCTTGCCCTGGCATCTCTGGAGAGGCTGGAGGACTGATCCTTGTGGTGCCAGCACAGGGCAGGGTTGGAATTTGGGGACAGATGTGGCTGCTCTTGCCTGTCCCAGCAGTGCTGTCCCCTGCAGCCACGCTGTTCTGGTGAGGGAGAGGACGAGCGGGGCTCCCGGGGCTCCCCAGCTCCCTGGGCTGCTCCTGGGAGGTGCATGATCCCAAAACTTGATTCCTAGAAATCGCTGCCAGCCTGTGGGAGCCCTGGGAAGCGGCAGGTGTGTTGGTCACAGGCACTGTGCCATGTCTGGGGTAGGATGAGGAATGGCCCCGAGGGCTGAGGGGTTCACAGCAGCCCTGTCTGCAGGGAGGCTGCTGGGGGAGGGCTGGTTTGACCCCCGTCCTCCTCTGCCACTGCCCCTTCTGAAAAATAGGAAAGAACGAAATCTCGTCAGTGGCTTTTAAAAGCCAGCTGAAAGTGTCCTTTATTAAATTACCACCCTATTGATCTCGCAGTCATCCAAGAGGGGATTGACTGAGGGCTTAAACAGACGCGCAGCTGGGCCAGACGTTCAATTAATGTGCATAAACGGGCAGTGGAGAAGCAATTTTCAGAACAAGTCAAGCAAAAGATCAGACCTGCTTTGCCTTCCATGCCAAAGTTGTTTCTGTATTTATTTTCATGTTATTTCATTTTTTCCCCCCTGTCCCTCTTATGATAAGCAGAGTGTTGAGAAGCAGCTCTCAAAGCACAGCTCGCTCTGCTTGGAAGAGGGCACGTTGGCAGGAGGGCTGGGGGAAAGCCACATCCCTCGAAGGACTCACACCTGAGGGGGGTTTTAGCCATGTAAATCCCAGGTTTCACACATGAGGGGGGTTTTGGGCTGTGTAAATCCCAGATTCTTCTTTAATTCCTGCAGAGAAGGCCCTGTGCAGCATCAGACCCATCGCCTGGTTTGAACATTCCTGTCTCTGATGAACCTGGGATTCCTCTTCCAAGCCTGGGGAAGAATTTTGTGAAGAAAACCCTCTTTCTTGATTGTCTCCTCCTGCCAGGGGCAAAGCCACTGATGGATATACAAATATTCAACTTCACTCTGGCCTTTCCTGTGGATGCTCCAAGGAACCTGCAGACAGGGCTGAAGCAGAGGGACACACTGGAAGGCAAATCCCTGCTCTGCATGTGTGAGCAAACCAGCCCTGTGTGTTTTTTTCTCTAGATTTAGCAAGAATCCTGATCAGAAACTCTGGCTCCAGGGCCCTCAGTCCAGCTCCACCAGCTCCAGGGCTTTGCTTCTTGTCTCCCTTAAGCCAGAGGTGGGTGCATCACCCCAGGCATGTAGAGGGGGTCACCTGCATTTTGAAGGGGTTTGAAGGGGGTCACCTGCTTTTCTCTTTCCCCCCCACCTCCTTGTTTATCTCCTCAAGATCGTTGTTTCCTGCTCAGGAATTGCTGGGCAGGAATAGCTCTGTGCCCCAGCAGTGGGCAGGGCTGTGCCAGTGGGGGGGTCTGGTGGTCTCTGTTAAATTAAGAACTGGCCAGCTGTGCAAAGGCATTTTTGGTGTTTGTTTTTACATTTCTAATAGCTCTGTTTTGGGTGTTTTTGGAGCTGGGATTTTATTTTAGCACGTTAGTTTGTCCCTGGTTGTAAAGGCTGCAATTTAGCAATTCTGCATTAATAAGAGATTATTCCTTCTTCCTCTCTCACTTATCCTTCCTTTGGTAATAATCAAGTAAATGAAGCGTGTCATGAAGGGGCTGTGAGCTCTGGAGTGTTCCTGGGGCCGTGGGATCCCCACCCTGGTGCAGTGCCTCACTCTGGCCAGAGCTTGTGTTCCCTTTTCCTGTGTCTTTATAGCTGTTGGGTGTTTCTTTCCCCTAAAAGGTTGTCTCTGCTCCAGGACAGAGACAGGGCACTGGGCTTTGTGGTCTGTTCTTTGCCATGTGGCTCTTGGGGTCAGCACCTTCTGACCCTTTCAGAAATCAAACTCACCAGAGCAGCATCACAGCCCTTCCCGACTGTAGATTTGGGGGGCAGGGGGACAGAAGTGATATATATGTATATTTGAGATTTTATTTGCATTTTAAATCAAACTCTCTGCTAAACTAATGGCCCCCCTATTTATAGCTGACTCCAACCTAAAGTGACTGCTAATTACTACAATTAATACAGCGTTAAGGCTCCAGCCAACTCCACTGCCACGCACGAGGCGCCTACTCATTTTCAATTAAGGCACATTGACAAGGAAAATACGCAGTTATTAACAGCAGAGCCCTGTTGTGTAATTACATTTTTCTAAGGTCATTAATCTCCTGCAACACTTAGGTTTGCCCCCAAGGGCGGGGTGGGGGCAGAGGGACAGTGCAGCAGGGACAGGTGAATAAAGGTGAGGGGTTTCTTCCATTGTGCCCTCATGCTGTTGGAGCACATCCCTGGATGGGCATCCTTGGATAGATACCCCATCCCATCTGTGGGTGTCCCACGAGCAGCCCAGCCCTGCCACGCTGCACCCCTGGGTGCTCTGGGTGCCTGCATCACGGTCAGGCAGAGCAGCCTCAGGTTTGTGGAGCTCTTGGGGGAATCTCTCCTACCTTAATCAAGTTTCCATGGATCATCCCCACATTTATTATTATTTCCTGAGCTCTTTGCAGTCACTCAGGCTGAGCTGCCTATTGAAATAGGCTTTTTCCTCCCCTCAGAGCTGGCAGCAGGATGGGAGGGGCTCTGGGCTGTATCCTGGGTATTTTGGGGGCCAGAGGGAGAGCAGAGGAGGCAGGGGGATGGGCCAGGGATTCTGGCAAATTGCCAATGAGACTGGATCCTCGTGTCCAGCCCAGCATGTCACCTCCAGCCCCAGCAGGGCTGAGCCTCCCTCGGAGCTGACGCTGCCTCGTTTGTGCTTCGTGCACCTCTTGGCTGAGAGGCAGCGAAGGCACAACCAGCCACGGCAGGGGAACCACCTGGTAAAGCAAAAGGAGAATAAACCCAGAGAAGTCAGTACAAGAAGGGCCTGAGCTGCAAACACCAGCAGAGCCCCGGAGCAGCGGCGGAGCAGCAGCTCCCGACGCCTCCGGCAGCGCCGGTGAAACCATGCGCAAAATATTGCGGCATTGGGGCACGGCGGTGACAAGGTGGAGTGCTGGGGCTGTAATGAAGACAGACACGGGCCTTTAACACTTCCAGGCTGAGGCTTTGATTGACTGCCTGGGACTCGGTGCTGGCAAAGCAGCTGGACCTGCTGATCCGCTGCAGGGAGCAGGGAAGGAGGGGGACAGGGCTGGGGAGCGGGGAAGGAGGAGTGGGGACTGCTCTGGGGGCTGCACTGTGGTCCCCCCTGCAGTCTGCCCTTGGTGGGAGCTGCTGGGGAAACCTGGATGCACCCAGGGAGGCCCAGGGTCTAACCCTGCTCCCACCCATCCCATGGGTGTCCAAGGTTAACCCAGCTCACACCCATCCCATGGGTGTCCAAGTTAACCCAGCTCACACCCATCCAGTGGATGTGCAGGGGTCTCACTCAGCTCTCCCCACCCCCTGGGCACTCTCTGAGGCAGAACTCTCTGCTGCTCAGCCATGTCCAGCTCGGTGCTGCTGATCCACAGCATGGCCCTGGGCACTGAGCAGGGAAAATCTCCCGGTCTGTGTTTGCCTCTGGCTTTGCTGACAGCCCGGAGGAGCAGCTGGGGCCGTGTGTGAGGGCTGGGCATGGCTGAGGAGCTCTGTGCAGAGGGATGGTCGGCAGCACACGCTGTTTCCTGGCCCTGGAGATGCTGTCCTGCTGCTCCCTGGAACGGGAGGCTCTCCCTCAGGATGCAGACACAGGAGTGATGTGGCAGAAAGTCCATCCAGAGACCAGGAAGGGTTAGGGTGCTCCATCCATCCCCATCCCTCCTGCTCCTGCCCCTTCTCACTGCTCTGTAGAAGCCCTGGATAAGGTTTACTCGGATGTATGACACTTTTGAGGAGGTTTCTAGGAAGCAATGCCTTTTGCCTGCTAAATTACCAACATCTCTCTCATCCCCAGGGCTCAGCTCCATGGCTTGACTGACACGAAGCGTTCCAGCATCAGAGACTGAGAGACAAACGAGCAATTTGCCAAGAAATTATCCTTTGGGATTCCTCCTCTCTCCAGTCGGTTTAATTGGGTGAGCTCAGGGTGGCTTTAATTGCTGTGCTCCAAGCACAGCTTCACCCCCTCCTTGCTTTTTGTCTCCAATCCCTCTCCTTCCCCCTCCTCCTTCCCAGCACCATTTATCTCCTTCCTCCTACAGCATCTGCCCTTCTTGTTTTTTCCCCAATACCTCTTGGAAGTGGTGACAAGCTGAAATGTCATTGGAGTCTCTCTTGGCTGACAGGTTCTTTAAGGCTTTGGTGCTTCTGAGAGGGTGATGAACTGGCTCGGGGATCCCTTGGATTCCCTGGGGATTTGGGCTGGCTGTGGCAGTGAGTGGCAGAGCCTCCATGGTGGCTGTGTGGTCACACCAGCCACCTTTCTGCCCTCGTGCTTTGTGGTCTGTGTCTCCCAAACGTGTCCCAGCATGGGCTGAGGGTGCAGCAGAGGCTGTGACAGCCCAGTGTGGGACTGGGAGCCCCTGGTCATGGCTGGAGCCCAGAGGATGCTCTCTTATCCCTGCTCCTGCTTCCCAAGGAGCTCATCATTTTAAAGGGGTTGGAGAACACCTGGGACTCCTCCTGTTGGCAACTGTGGGGCACAAACTACAGCTGCTTCACTTGCTTGGTCTCATCCCAGAATTACCTTCAGGGCATTTTATGGGCCAGATTCCCTGTGATGTGAGTTGGGAGTGTCCAGGGGTGTTCCCAGAGGGGCACCTGGAACTCAGGGTGGTGCAGCAAAGGACTTGCCTGGAGGGCTGGGGAGGGCAGAGGGAGATGGAGAGGGACATTCAGAATCCATCTCCCTCTCCTTCCCCTGGGGCCTGAAGTTCTTCTACTTGTCCCCAACATCTCTCTCCTCCCTGCCCCACCTTTCCCAGGAGATCCTCTGCTTCCCTGTCCCAGCCTGGCTGCTGCCCACAGTGCAAAGCTTAATTCTGGGGAGTTCACAGAGCATTCCAGCTCAGTGTAGTGCTTGGAAATGAGGGAATAGCCAATCCCACTCCATGGCCAGCAGACAGCAGATTTGTGGCTCACTCGTGGTCCCCAGGGACACGGCACAGGCATCCAAGCAGCACATGCAGCGTGGAGATGGATGAGGGATAATTTCAAATGGCAGCTGAAGTCCAAATTCTGGTGGTAATAAATACATAAACTAGTTAAAAATAAATTGATTAGCCGAGGATATCCTCTTAACACTCTTTAAGCTCTAACATCTGTTTGTAATAAATAATTCAAGCTGTGGATATTAATGAGGAGGCCAGGCCGGCTGGGGGAGGCTGCTGGGAGCTCCACAGGCACACGGGGCTGCAGATGTGTCCATGGGCTTCCCTTGGGGACAGCAGGGGCTGCAGGAGTGTCCCTGTCCCTCCCTGGGGGCTGCAGGAGTGGCTCTTGGCAGCAACAGGATGTGTGCAGACGTGTCCCGATGGACAGGGACCCGAGCGCAGGGGTGGAGGGGCTGTCACCAGGGGCACACATGGTGACACACGTGTGCCTGGTGTGTCCCCTCCTGGCTGTGTGCCCACAGGGCACGGCACAGCTCTCCTCGGGAGCAGGGGTGGATTTAGCTGTGGATTTACACGCAGGTACAGCCGTGCAGGTGTCACCTCGTGGAGCTTTGGAATGTGCACACTGTGGGCACGATCGGTGTGGGAGCTGCACACACGTGTTTTCTGGAGTATCCCTGTCCTGTTGTGGGATCCAGGGAGGAACTGGGGACCCAGCCTCCCCCCAGGCTGGCCAGCCCCCCTGCCCTGTCCCCAGCAGCAGCACAGGCTGTCACAGCCTGATAATTGCTGGGTTTCTCTGTTTTTAATCAGCACTACCAGCTGCTGTGCCCAATGCACCAGGGGCTGCTCCTGGCACGTGCCCAGCAGCCCAGGGCCAGCTTCACGATCAGTCAGAGGTGCCAGCTGGATCCAGACCAGGGCTGGGAGTGAGTAACGCCTGGGGGGAGCAGGGGGACACCAAGCAGCTCCAGACAGGGAGGGGGAGGAGGGAGGAGCTGAGGTACCCAGACAGGCTGCTTGGGGTCCTGCAGCCCAGCCAGCGCCAGTGGCATTGCTCTGCCTCTTGGAAGGGCAGATCCTTCAGCATGGATACCTCAGGAGAGGAGTCCAGCTCCCACTTCAGCCAGTTCTGCACTGGTCTTGCAGGCAGAGGCAGAAGGGGACGGGGCCAGAGGCCAGTGAGTGCTGGCACATCAGCCCAGGTAAGGAGCTCCGTGCAGGAGGGAAGGTGCCAGGGTGCCAGGTCCCTGGAGCACCAGCCATGCCAGTGTCTGTGTTTGATGGGATAAGAGGGAGGGAAGAGGACAGGAGAAACGATGCCTGTGAACCTCTGGGAAGGACCCAGACCTCGGAGATGGTCAGAGGGACAGAGTGGGCAGGAGGGAGATGGACTCTCTGCGTGGCTGTCACCTCCTGTCTGGTCTCTGCTCAGCTCCCATCCTGCCACCTCCATCCTCCAGTCCGTGCTGCTCCATCCTCTGCCAAAACAGCTCCCTGAGCTCCTGAGGCCACGAGGATATGCCTGTCCCATTAATCACCCCCTCCCATCGGTGTCTGCTCAGGAATTAAACTCATTTGTCACTGCTGCCCTGTTCCCACCCGCCCCTCGCCCAGCCTGCCCTCCCCGCAGGGCTCGCGGCCACCCTGCAGTCTGTGCCCCCCTGTCCTCGGGCACCACGGGCCTTATTCTGCCTCCATCTGTTTGTAAATGTCCTGGGACACGCACAGAGCTGTTTTCTGGCCCCCATCTCTACGCCCCATCTCAGGTTGGGTCCCCCAGGCCTGGCTGTGCTCAGAGGCAGCCCCCGAGCCCAGTGCACACCGATTCTGATGCGTCAGGGCTGAACGAGGCTGAGTGACCCACTCTCTTCACCAAACCCCCTGGCAGACACCAAAAAGCCTCTTCCACCCCCCTGTGCTGCTGCCTGAACTCGCTCCCTCAAACCCCCTCTGCTCCAGCTTCCAGCCCGGCCCCTGGGAACGCTCCCGGCAGCGAGAGAGCCGCTCGTTAATGAGCTCCCATCCCTCCCGAGCAGCCCCGGCAATAACACACAGTCCTGCCTTTTAAGTACCTACAAGTAATCACTCAGGCTCCAATAAAATGGGAAGGAACAAGCCCCTGGTCGTGTTGTTAGCAATCATTTTCCTGGCTGTTAACCTGTTCCCGTACTCTCATTTTTTCCCAGAGAAGCCCCAGATGTAGTGGGGAGGGACAGGAGCCAAGTGCAGCCCCAGTCCTGTTGCCACACATCCAGCAGCTCCTGTTCCTCCCTGCCCACCCTCTGTGCTGGTTTAAGGTGCATCCACAGGGCTCTGAGCGAGACAGAAGTCCCACAGGCAGGTGCTGAGCCCAGGCTGCAGAGTGCTATGGAAAAGGTAGGAAAATGGGAATGGCTGTGATTGGGGTTTGGTGTTAATCCTAGAAATCCCATTTTGGCCTCGGGAAAGCAGTTGCTGCCCTGATAGAGCCCCTAGCACAGGGAAATGCAGTCCTGTCTGTGCTGCCAGGCTCGCTGACTCTTCCCAGGGGATGGATGGCTGTTTTCCTCCCCGTGCCTGTAAATCCCGAGGTGCCCAAAGCCTCTCCCTGGCGGAGCCCTGAGCCCCGAATAAAGCCCCGAGGCTCTGCAGCTTAGCGTGGCAAATGTAATGTTCTTAGGCAGCCTCATCGCGGCAAATCTCCATATTTCTCAGGGATAAACACTCACCTCTCCTCCCTGGCTCCCGCTTTGGGCCCGAATTGTCGCCACGGGGCTGGGCTGTGACTGCAGGAGGGTCGCTGAGGCCACTGAAGAACTCTGGTCCACTGCACCCCCTCTCCCCTGGGGGTTCCCCCCCAGCACTGTTTGCAAACAGATCTTTCCTTGAAGGAAGGGGGTTTGCAAAGGAAGGAGCTGGGGAGCCCTCCCTGAGCCTTCCATCGGGATGGGTGCTGGCAGCACAGTGCATGGAGTGTGCTGCTGAGTTGTTCTACGTAAATTCACCTGCACTGGGCTGCTCCATCTTGAACTTCAAGTGCAAATGGAGCCGAATTCCCCTCCCTGGCCCACACCACTGCCTCTCTTGAGAGGTTCTGGTGCAGAAACCAAACAGGGCTCAAACACCACGTGGAGACTGGGCTGTGTCAAGGCAGGACCAGGCTGAGCTCAGAGCTGTCCCAGTCCTGGGAACACCTGGAGCTGGGCTGCAAAACCTGGTATGATGGGGCAGGGGATGGTCAGGGCTGTCTCAGCCACCCAGGGAGGTTCAAGGGAGCTGCCCTGGTGCAGCCCTGACAGGAGCTGGCGGTGATTTCCCTCCTGAGACGCTGCCAGGGCAGTGAGTCGGAGCTGTGGCCAAGGATTCCCCTGCCCCAGGCTCTGTGGCAGCCTGGAGGTGCCACTGTCCACTCCTGGCTGAGCTGGCAGTGCCCACAGGTCCCCAGCCCCAGCTTGGTCCGTGAGGGTGGACAAGTGAAAGAGATGGTGGTGGAAGGAGAGAGACTGGGGAGCTGATGGGAGGAGGAGAGAGACAGGCAGGGATTGTTCCTAAGACACTGGGGGGGATGAGGGTGTAGATCACCAGAATTGGCGGGGGACAGGCCATAAAGCAAAAATAAAAAGGTATTATAATTTATGATGCACAGTAAAAATATCCTGGGAACTGGGTTATGAAGAAGAATTCATTCTCTCGCCAACTCTGCGTATCTTTAAAGATGATAAACGATGTTATGATTCTTCTTTGTATCTGAGAGCTGGAAAATTCACTCTGCCTTGGAGCTCTGTCACGTCCCCTCCGTGCTGCTGCCGCCCCCAGAAGAGAAGGGTGCTGAGCCCGCCCTGGCAGGTGCCCTGTGGGGAGGGTGAGGGTCCCCCTGTCCTGGGCTGGGGGGACCATGGCACAGTTGGCCCCTGCCCCCTCCACGCACTGAGCTGTGTGTGTGTCACAGGGCTGCAGCCAGGACCTCTGCCTGCACTTGTGGGGTGCTGTTTGTCCCCTCATCCCCAGGCCCATCCTCCTGCCCACTGTGAGTGGCTGCTGTTGTGGGCTCTGAGTGTCCCCAGATGCCACAGCAGAGCTGGTCAGAGGATCCCTGCACGGCCATCCCATGCAGGGTGTGGTGAGGGGGAGAAATTCCCACTGTCACATAGATCCATGGGGCCTTTGACCCCAGACCCTGAGCCAGGGCAGAGCAGATGGCAAGGACACCAGCGGGGCCAGAGCTGCCCTGGCTGCAGCAGCAGGGTTTGGCCTCTGCCCAGCTGTGTAAATGTGGATTAGTTGTTTACAAGGTACATTTAAAGAGTTAGGAGAGGAGAAAGAAGCCAAAACTTTCTTTAAGCAGCACAGGCAGCTTTGGCACCTCTCCCTCCCCCTCCCCACACCGAGCCAGCCCGCTGGGTTCCTGCTTTGATAAGAGCCCTTGATGCCTCCGCGCCTCCAGGCACCGAATAAAAGGTTTAATTACCCACTGCCAGGCACGGCAGCGCTGCTGACAGCCAGGAGGTGCCTGCTGCCCACACCTTGGGAAGGAGAAACTTCCTGCAGCAGGAGCCATTCCCGTTCCATGTGCAGAGCTCACCCCTCTGCTCCTCCAGACCCAGGGGCCAGGGAGCTGAGTTCCTTCTGCTCACTGAATTCCACCTCCTGAAGGTTCTGGTTCTTCCTAAAGGACGTGGCTGCAGAGCAGTGGCTCGTGCCAGCTCCTGGCATGACTGGAATGTCTCTGTGGGATCCCAGCACGGGTGGCTCTTTATGGGGTGTTCCAAGGCACCACCCTACAAAGCTGTGCCAAGCCCACCAGCACAGAGGCCCTTGGCACAGTGATGGCCACTGGAGCTCTCCCACACGTGACACTTGCAGGCTGGCCATGCAGCAAAGCCTCTGGCTCATGGTGCCATCCCCAGGGATGGATTTTTGGCAGGAGGAGTGGGATGAGGTGGAGCCTGCACCCTCACAGCCCCCCACCCCAAACTCTCACAGCCCCAGTGCAGGGAATGGCAGATCTCCTGTGCCTGGAGATGTGAACATGCAGGGGACTCCTGTCTTTCACCGAAAATCTCTGTTAGGAAGGAGATAATGAGTCTCATTTTCCTCCCTCCAGCTGAGCTGCAAAGGTCAGGCACTGTTGGCCAGTCCAGCTTGGGCTGGAGGCCGGGCTGTGTCACACCTGGAAAATTCCAGCCTTTGCAAGCCCATCAGCAGTGCAGCCAAATCCTCCACTGCTGCAGGCTGGGAACAGCTTCCTGGGGCTCCAGCTCCAACCCTGCTGTGTGACATAATCCCTGTCCCTCGGGGCAGGGGAGAGGGGCTTCACTTCAGGAAGCAAATCCTAGTGGGGACCAACAAGCCCCGCTGCTTCCAGGTGTTTGGGCTCTCCTGGATCTCCTCCTCTGCTCATGCAAAACCTATTAAGTATAGAAGAGCCTCCAGAATTCCCCAAATGAGTCATTAACTGTGGCTTGGTAACAGGTGTTCCTTTAAAAAGGCCTCTGAAGCCTTCAGAAACAAGGGGAGGGGGAGTGTTTGGCTCTAGTCATGCACAGGTTCGTTGTCACAGCGGGATGGCAAAAACTGCTGCATCCCATAAAACCCAGCGTCCCCCGGGAGCAGCTCCAGCCCAGCTGCAGTGGGGCTGCCTTCCCAGCCACGGCTCTGCCCGTCCTGCTTGTAATTTCTTAATCTAGTTTTGGAATATTTTATTACTCCCAGCTCTCATCTGCTCCTTCCTCCCTCCTCCCCTCTCGCTCCAATTCAATTATGTGCTGTGTTCGCCCGGGGCTGCTGCACCTTCTGCTCTGCCTCTCCTCCTCTCAGCCTGGGATGTGGGCAGGGAAGGGGCTGTGTGGGACCCTCCAGGCCACAGGGATGCTCTTCCCTCAGGCACTGGAACCCACGAGGGTCCCGGTGCTGTCCCTGCAGCTCCTGCAGCCCCAGCCCTGTCCCAGCAGGCACCATCACCCACCCCAGGCTACCTGTGCCTGCCTGAGCATGGGGGTGAGTTCAGCCCCTCTGGGGTGAGTTCAGCCCCTCTGGGGTGAGTTCAGCCCCTCTGGGGTGAGTTCAGCCCCTCTGGGGAAGTGGCTTGGGCCATCTGAAAGCAGAATTAACGTTTTCTAAGCTGTATCAATGAATCTGCTCCTTTCTCCACAGTTATCCCCTTAAAAAGTCTTTATTTCCAAGCAAGTGATGGATGTGACAGGCGGAGTGTCCCCCCCACCCCTCCTTCCCTGCCTCCAGGTTTTCCTTTGTCCGTCTGACACAACGAGGGGGCCACTTTTCTACAGAGAAAAACTGATAATTCAGGGGAGTTCTCTGCATTTTTATTAACTCGAATTTTTACTGTAGACATGAGAGGAGGAAAGACAGGAGGGTGTTTGGCAGCGAGTGCACACCCCTGCCCACCTCCCGACAGCTTCTCAGCCACAGAGGTTTGAGCATTTGATTTCATTTTGCTGCCACCAATAAAATACCCGCTGAAGGGGAGCTGTGGGGTGGAGGGAGGGGACAGAGGAGTCGGTGGCTGGGAGGCAGCTGAGGCAGAGGGTGGGGAACAGCCTGAAGAGGGAGTGAGCAATAAACAGGGGTGGGGGATATTTGGCAAGATAAATGGCGCTCAGAAAATCTGCTTCTCGCAAACTTCGTGGGGATAAAAATGATTTAAGGAGATGCTGTCAAGATAAAAATCATATCTATTCAAGAACAACTCCTTACAAGTGTTATTAATAGCACTGGAGATGGTTGTGCTGGGAAGGACTTTAAACACTGCATTTGCTTTGGGCTGCCCAGTGCGGTTCCTGCAGGGTGAGTGGCTGGACAGAGGGCAGGTGGGGGTGACAGAGAGCCAGGAGAGCCCTGGGCTCCCAGAATGCAGCTCCTCAGCATCCTTGGGGATGTGGTTTGGGGTGCAGGTCATTCCTCCACCCCGTGCTGAGGCCATGAGCATCTCCCACATGCCAGCCTGCCCTCGGTGGGGATGTTGGGGCTGGGTGGAAGCCGTGGGTACTCGGCTGTGTTGGTCTCAATGCCCTTGCCCAGAGCCCCTCCCTGCTGTACCCAGAACCAGAGCCAAGGCTGGGCTGGGACATCGGTGAGAGCCTCTGAGCGCTGGTGCCTTCCCCGCATCCCTGGGGAAGCTGTGCCTTGGCTGCTGGATGAAAGGCTTCCCTGGCATCACAGCCCTCCCTGGGTGTTTAATTACCAGCTCTGATCCACTTCTCATCTTCCCTGCACCCACATCAAGGCCCTGCTCACAGGGTCTCCAGGCTGGGGGCTCCCGTGCTGGGGGTGCTCCCTGCGGGCAGAGATGGGAGCAGAGAAGGGAACTGGGCAGTGGAGCTGCCCCAGTCCTGTTTGGGGACATTCTTTGCCCCAGGGCCAGCACAGGCACACACAGATGGACACACCACCGTGCTCTGACCTGCTGGAGCTCCCTGCTGCCCCTCCAAACAGGCAGATTTTCATGGAAACTCAGAAATAAGGAAAATCAGGCAGTCCCCAGTTCTTCCTGCTTCCCCAGTCTGGTGAGGAAGGGGTTGGTCAACTCCCCAACCCTGTTTGCAAGTCTGGACTTGGACACGACCCCTTTTTGGGACTGGGAGAGAGCAGGAGGTCAGAGGGATGCAATGAGGTTGAGTTTTGCCTCCTCCCCAAGACCTGTCTTTCCCCCTCTCTGCTGCTTAACTCTGCAGAGCTTCTCCTCCCACCCAGCCCAAATGTCTCCATCCCTGACCCCATTATCCCTTTCTGTGCACCCAGGGGACAGATTGTACCTCTCCTCTCCCTGGTGCTCTGACATCTTAGACAGCCACAATCCTCTAATCTCCTCTGCCCCGCTCACCCCATCTCACTTTGCTGCCCCCCATCATTCCTGCTGCCCTCCCTGGGCTCATTCCCAGCACTTGACATCTCTCAGCTGGATGAAGATTCATTTTTCCTGTTGGGATGCTGGGAAAAAGGGGGGTCACTGCAGTGCTTTGGGCCATCTGGTTTGGAAGCTGTGAAAGCAGAGCTGAAGATTTAATGGCACCTTAAATATATGGCTGATTGTTAGGTCCAATTCTGATTTCAAAGCAAATACGGGCTTGGGAATTAAGGAGGAAGATGAGTTTCACTGCAAGGTAAATAAAAATTAACTGGTGGTGATATAAACATACCTGTGTATAAAAGCAGGCATGTGATTTTTGAAATACACTCAATTAGAGAAGCAAGAGTTTGGGGTTATTTTTAATAAAAGCTTCATGGCAAAATTTCAAGGACTTGCAAACAATAAAACACCCCTAGCTCCAATATCCAGGCTGGGATGTTTATGACTGTTTAGTGCTCTGCACATAAAATAAAAGCACCACCACAAATTAGCTGGTTGCTTCTGCCACCCCCATCCCTGATCTCTGCAGGTGGCTCCAAACCCTGCCTGGGAGTGAGGAGGGATGTCCCTGGGGATGTGTCAGACTCTCTGCAGGATGGAGAGGTGGCTCGAGCAGGGAAATGGGCTGGAATGGAGTAATTAGAGGAATTAATTAGGTGGGGAGGCCCCTTGGGTGCCAGTCCCTGGGTGTAGGAGCAATTAAGCGTCACCCCAATGATGCTCACAGGGGGTCTGTTCATTCCCAAGGGTGCTGGAGCGAGGGCTGGTGCTTTCCAGATGGGCTGGGGCACTGGGGTTCCTGTTGCACAAACATGTGAAATAAGAAAACTGGGCTAAAACAGATAGATTTTTTAGTAGCTTTGGGTGTGCAGCACTTCTGGAAACCCGCTCTGGTTTGGGAACCAACACAGGAGCTGAGGACAGTGAATCTAGCCCCAGCTCTCCAGCAGGGGAGCTTGCTCTGCAGCTCCCTTCATCCAGAAAAACATCCCTAAAATGAGGCTGGAGGAGAGAGAAAAGGAAAACAAGAAAGAAAAGCTCCTGCTTCAAGGCGCCTCTGATTGTTACCAAACTTCTTGCAAACACAGAACAACAAAGAGGTGAAACGTGGAGATAATTAAGGACATAATTGTACACACACAACTGCTTAATTAAGCTTTTCCTCTTTAAACCTGACAGAATCTGCTTACAAGGTGCAAGCACGAGGGGAGGCTGCCCATATGCTGGGCCATCTGCACCGCAGGCGGGAGGCAGCGCAGGAGGAGGAAGAGGAGGAGGAGAAGGCAAGGCCTGCCTGTGAAGAAAGGAGCATCACAGTCCTGCTCTGGTCCCGTGCCAGTGGCTGCCCCTTGGCCCCTGCCTGTGCCCACCTGGCGTGCACTGTCTGCTTTTTGAGACTGAAAAGCTTGGAGCCCTCCCTGCTCCAGCTCCTCTGCCCGTGTCACCCTGCAGCATTCTCCATCGTGGCACGTGGGGGCAGGACAGTGAGTGAAGATTAATAAATGAAAGGGAAAGGGAGGGAGACCTGACCCGAGCTCCTCCTCTCTGAATTCCAATTAAAGCCATAATGCTGTTGGGAACACGACGTGGAGATTATGAACATGTTATTTATATTGATTCATCCCCCCAGCCCTCCAGACTTCTGGAAAATAATTAGGGCTGACATTGCTAATGCTGGAGCCAAGTGTTGGTATCATCTCATGAAAATGGTGAGCCCTGGCTCTGCCTTGGAGCAAATACCAGAGCCTGCAGATCGTGCCCTGCACGGCTCCCAGAGCTGCTGCAGCTGATGGTGACACCAGCACGATCTGTGGCCATGGGATAGGAACTCTGGGACCCCCCAGTGCCCCCAGCCCCACTCAGCTGCAGGAGCTGCAGGAGCCCCCTGGCCCAGCCCCACATCTCATTCCCCCCATGTCCCCTCCGGGCTGTGCTGCCTGGGCAGAGCCCCCCGAGCAGCTCTGCCTTCCCTTTGCCATCTCGTAGTTTTATCGAATTCATTCCTTAACGTGGTTTAGAGCGAGGCAGGACACGTGTCCCCAGACTCAGGAGGGGAATTATGGCCGAGCCTGGGGCTGGGATGCACAGCTCTGGATTTAGCCACGTGCTGTCCCTGTTAGGGGATATTTGCTGCGCTGGAAGTGGCTCCCTGGGGACAGCCCATCCCCTGAGCTGATGGGGAGGGGCTGAGCTGCAGCCGCAGCTTCTCCTGACGGGGAGGACACCATCCCTCGAGCTGCTCCAGCACTCCCAGATAAAACCCTGTCAGCTCTCCCGCTCGGGGACATCCGTTTCTGTCACCACCACTCTCCTTGTGCTGTAACTCAGCCCCTTCGGAGGAGCCACCAGCATGTGCCTTGTCCCTGCGTCTGGGGTGTCACAACTCACTGTCCACCCCATCCCGGGCTGATGACACAGCTGAGAATCCAGCTTTGGGACCGCTGGGATGACAACCCCATGGAGCAGCACCTGGGAAATGAGGATTCCAGCCCAGGCTTTGCAAGGCAAAGCTGGTGGGATCAGGGGAGCAATTCAATTAGGCACTCACTGAGGCGAGGAGGAATGAGATGGGTCATGGTTGCACCAGGGATGCACTGGGAGAGACAGGAAAGGGCAAGGACTGATCCTGGGAATGTGCATCTTTAGCAGCAATAAGTGGTGGCAGAGATGACAAACCGAAAAAACAGAGGAAAGATTGTATGGAGCTTCCAGAAAGTGAGGAAGGAAGAGAAGAGCCAGGGAAGGACACCCAGCTGGGGGGGCACAGAGGAGGGAGGGGCTGAGCCCCAGCTGGGATGAGGGGGGAATTAGCAGCAGGGAGGGCACTCCTGGGGCTCTGCCCTGCACAAAGGGCTGGGTGAGTTGTGCAGAGACTGAGAGGCTCCTAAGGTACTCTTTTGGGCTCAGGGGGGATCATGCAGGACCTGTGCAGGTAGACCCCAGTGCTGGGGTTTGGCCCTTGCCCCTCAGTGCCCCCGGGCTGGCCCTGCAGGCAGTGGGGCTGGGTGGGTGTTCCCGGGTCCTGGGCTGCGCTCCTGGCAGAGCCATCCCTCATCCCGCCGGGTTTGCCGTGTCCCACACCCCCCTGCTCTGATTGCTCTGTTTATTGCTGTAAATTATTGAAGGCACAAGGGCTGACTCAGCACCGGAGGCTGCAGGAAATTTTCGCACATCCATCAAAGCGCCGGTCCCGCTCCCGCCTGTGCTCGTCACCGGCCGTGTCACCTTGTGCTGAGCTCTCCGGGGCTGGGACTGGACGTGGTGGCTGCACCAGTGACTTGCACCTCTCTGGGGCTGCCCAAAGCGGGGCAGAGCTTCGTGCCTGGCTCAGCTCTGGCTGTGCTGTGGTTGATGTGGGCTGGGATGGTCCGGAGCCATCCTGGGGTGCTGGGGCTGTGCACGGATGAGCTGGGAAGCTGGAGTGGGTGACTGCATGGTGGGGTGTCGCTGCTGGGTGGGGAGAAGGGGTAAAATCCTGAATTATTTGTGCAGGAAGATGGGGAAGCCTTGACTTGCACGGGGAGGTCTCTCCTCTTGCTGGTGCACCCTCCCTTCCCAAAGGGCTTGATTTTTGGGAGTGTGAGTGCCCTGAGGCTGCCAAGAGCTCAGGCCACGGTGTGTCAGGATGGGGCTGCCCAGCACCATTGGTGAGAAATTGGTTTCTTGAGCCAGCTGCCAAAAATCCTTCAGTGTCCTGGGGAATGTGCCGGTCCCATCCTGTGTGTTCTCGCCCTGGAAGTTTTCTTTGTGCGTTTGTTCCACTTTAATTCATTGCTGTGGCGTGGGGACCTGCTAATGAAGGGTTGAAGATGGATTGGGCTGGGCTGTTACACGGGCTCACAGGATGGTTAATTACCCTGGGAAGCTCGAGTGCAATGAATACTTCATAAAGCCAAAGCCAACAGTGAATTATTCATTATCCATTTATCAGGGACAGCTGAGATAAACCCTTTGGGACAGGGACTGAGTGGGGGTTCCTCCTCCCAGCCCTCAGCAGGCTGCTCATCGTTCCCATTGGTGTGGGATCCCTGGGGACAGGGGTCCCATGGGGCTCCTCAAGGAGGGGTTTTGAGAAGAGTGTTCCCTAAAGCATTGCTTGGTTTGTTAACCATGTGTTGAGCCACAGCAGGCCCTGGAAAATATAGAGAAGGGCTGAGATGGAGGTCTGGAGATAGTGGGAGAGGATGAGCAGGATAGGTTGTTGGGGGCAAAATGCCGTGTGTTCCTGCAAGGACCAGCACAGTCCCCCAAACTTGAGTCCAGGGTGGCAGCTTGGGGGGTACCCAGGGTGCAGGAGGGGAGCAGAGGCAGGCATGGAGCCAAGCACCAGGCACAGAGGTGTTTTACCTACACGTGGCTGGTTTTCTTGGCACATCCCAACCAGGGAGAAATTCAGCTCAGTCCTGAGCTCAGTCTGCACTGTGCCTAAGGAGAGAAACCCGGGGAAAAGCAGGTGCGGGGAAACTCGGAGCTCGGGTAGAGCAGGGTCTGTAGATACCTGCCCGGGGGTGGCCGGGATGGCTGGATGGGTCTGAGCAGGGACCGGGCTGTCGCATCCCGGCTGCCGCAAGAAACAGGCTCTGCTGCCACCTACCTCTGCCGCCAGCGCGGGGGGGCTGCGGGGCCGCCGTTCTGCTCCGGGGAGTCCCAAAACATCCCGACCCGAGATGAAACGGTGCTGGGAGCTTGCAGGGGAGCACTCGTGCTTCTCCCCTCCAACCTCTGCAATGTCCTGGTCCCTCCCCTCCCACGGCAGTGCCTGGTCCACGCCATTCCCCTGCTTTCTGTGCTCAATTTGTAGTTTTGTGTTATTCCCCAAAACTCTGCTCCTGCCGATGTTCTCTAGACCTTAAAGAATATTTAACCATCTGGTAAATTATTTATCCCTCGGAGGTTTGGTGCGCTCAGGGCAGCTCAGGGGCCTCCTGGAGAATTAACTAGAGCCATAAATCAAAGAGACATTTGAGAAATTTCCCATTCCCGGGCTGGTGGCGGCCGGGCCCCGAAATGCCACTCTCAGGGTGGGAGCCGAGCGCTGCCACTTGCTGCTGTTACTTGTTTAAGAGCTTGTTAAATTTAGAAGTTAAATAGACTCCAGGAAGCAGATGAGACACACCAATTGCTGGCTAAGGGGGGAACTGGGAGGCTGCCACCCCCTAATACTCCTTTGGAAGGTGTTTTTTTCAGGCTTTGCAAAGCACCACCATCAATCCAACCACAGGGGCGAAGGAGCCGGGGGCTGTGTCTGGTTCTGTGCCCAGGGGATGGGGACTGGATGAGGCCCTGCTGTGTGTGGGAGAGGGGACAGTGGTCCCTTGGGGGGCTGTTGGCAGTGCAAGGGGTGTAAAGAGCTGGTGGCATTTTCCTGCTGTCTCACAGACCAGGTGTGGTGGGGATGGAGCGAGGTCTCTGCACCCCACCGTGATGCTCAGGCCCTTTGGGAAGGCTGCCTGTGCTTCCCAGGGCTCTGGTGGCCAAGGGGTAGTGGCACTTTCTTTCCTGGGTGTCCTGACAGCCATGGGAAAGGGTTTGGAATAAAAGGAGGTGCAGGGAGGACAAACCCAGCAGGAGTTTTTGCCCACAGCTCAGATCACTGCTCTGTCAGCTTTCCCTCTGCCACCAAACCCTGCTGTTCCCCCTGAACCCTCTTGGTCAGGTTTTAGTGTGGTTTGTCTTTATTCCCTCCTTGGAGTAAATCCCAGGCCCATCCCAAGGGGCATGGTGGTGCCTGGGACAAGCCCAGCAGCACTGGGGTCCCTGGGGGTGGTGACAACCTTCCTTCCCCCAGGACCAGCACAGTGTCTGAGGGATAACAATCCCCAGGCCCCTTCCCTAATAAATGAATTCATTTGGCTCTCTACGTGATGATGCAGAGCTGCAGCCAGACCCCTCAGAGGGGGTTTCCCCTCCTCTCATGCTGCCCCCAGCCCTGTTCCACCTGCCTGGCTCAGCCCTGCTGGTTTTTCCCCCAGAAATGAGAATTCTGGTTTATCACGTCTGCCTGGCGGGCAGCAGGAGCTGCCAGCGAGCTGGGGGAAAGCACAAGGTAATAGAGGTATTTATTAAAGCAGGGAGGAAATTTATATGCTATTCCTGTTTCTTCAGCTCTCAGTCATCGCCGAGGGGAGAGGAGGAGTGGGCAGCCTGCGCAGGAAATCGCCACAAGTCTGTTTTCTGCCCATTTGTCAGTCTGATGAACAAGAAAAATACAGGCGGGCTGGGCGAAGGAGAAACGCAGAGTGCGGAGGAGGCTGGTGCTGCTCCAAGGCCAGGAGCAGCCCCAGGAGCAGGGGGAAGCCACCCTGGATCCCCCTGGAGCTGGGGACTGGTGACACTGGGAGTCCTGAGCCTCCTGTGTTGGTGGCAGTGAACTGTAAATGGGAGGGTGGGGATGAGGAGGGGGAGCTGGGAGAAAGGGCTGTGGGGAGGAGAAAAGGGGCTCTGGAGGGGCCAGGCTGGAGCAGAGCCCTGGCAGATGGATGAGGACAGTCTCTGTGCCATCACCTCAACCCATGCATCCCCCCCTTGGCCAGGCCCTCCCAGCTGTTGGACTCTCAGGAATGTTTGGCATCTCCCAGAGAAGAGCACTGGAGAGTAAAAGCCCACCTAGTATTAAGTGGTAATAATTCCCTGCTTTATTTGCAGTTATCCTCCTACATGTGAGAGGCTGGGTTTTTGCTGACACTTTCTTGCTGGGAATTGAATGCTGCCTGAATCATCCATCCAGGGCCATTTGTTCATAAAAGTAAGGAATTGCTGTTTGAATCCTTTTATTGCTGCTAACGTGACACAGGCAGGGTGATGGATTCGGGAGGCTTTGCATGGGCTGGGGGTGGCCGTGCTGGAAATGACACAAACGTGGGAGTTTGTGCATCCCCTGGGGAAGGCAAACAAACTGCCTGGGTCTCCTGGGCTGCTGGGGTTGAGCAGTGTGCCCCTGGCTCTGGGGGGTTGGAATTTTGGCCTCTTCCAAGGTGTAACCTCAGCAGCTTTTCCTGAGGGGCAGCTTCTCCCTGTGGGACCAGGGTCTGTGCATCCCAGAGAGGGACTGGGGTGGAGGGCACAGAGGGAAGGGGAGAGTGTCTAATTTTAATCTTCTTGTTTTCCAGAGCTGCTGGTGTGGCTGGACAAGATGTTTTTCCTTTGGCAGAGACAAAGAGGCAGAGCCAGACCCTCGGCATCCGGTGCTGCCTCTGCACTGATGGGATAAAAATGTCCTGGGAGAAAGGCCAGGCAGTGCTGTTCCAGCCTGGAGGGATCAGCCCTGGCAGGGTGGGGTGTGAATGGCACAGCACCGGGCTGGGATCCCCCCTTGCACCCCAGCCCACCCCGTTTGGGTGCAGGGTCTGTGCCCCACCCCTGCCCCCTGCTTGGATGGGGGTCTCGCTGTGTGCCCAGTGGCTGAGGGTCAAGGAACAGCCCCTCCCTGAGATCTCCCTCCTCATCCCCATGGATGCTCCAAATCAGGATGTTATTAACTCCAGGCTGCTTTTCCCTGATTGCTGCTTGCACAAACGATAACTGATTTTAAATGAATTGAGCCAATTACTGCAGTTTTCCTCAAACAGATGACGGCAGTGCTGGGGTGAGGAGGAGCGATCCCAGCTGCACAGAGGAGAGGCAGACACTGAAATGCCCTTTGGGCCCAAGTTTCCAGCTGTCTCTGTTTCCTGGTGAAGTCTGGCTGCTTTCCTCAGTTGCATCTGAATTTAGGTGGGAGCAAGCCCAGGCCAGTGGTGCTGCAGCAGGTGGTGGAATCTGTTCTGAGGGGGTGATGCTGGGATGTATTTGTGGAAAAGTGGAAAGAAATAACTCCAGGATGATTGTTCAAGGATGGGACTCTGGGTTTGGGGATCTCCTGGTTCCTTAGGGACAGAGCAGGTGGGTATTTCCCAGATGGGAAAGATGGGGATTGTCCAAGGGCTCCATAAGGACAGCTCCTGCCCCAGCTTATTTACCAAATATTTCATAGATAGGCTGGGGCTGGTTGGCTGTGCCCAGATCCAATCTGAATGTGAAATTCATAAAATTTTAAACAGCTAATTGTCACTGGCTGTCTTGCCCTTGCAATATGAGGAGCTTTAGTGAGAAGAAAACATAATGAAGGTGGATTAAAGCTTAACTGTGTGAAAATTAGTTAAGGAATCTTGAAATCAGGCTCAAAGAATTGTTTAGGTTGGAAATACCCTCTAAGATCATCAAGTCCAACCCTTAATCCAGCACTGCCAGGTCCATCACTAAGCCATGTCCCCAGGTCACTTCAGCCTGCCTGGTTTCAAGCTGCCCACACAGCTGGGCTGGTGCCTGGGCTCTGCCCCACTGAGGGTAGTGGGACCAAGCTCAAGCTCTTCCCTGTACCCGTTGTGTCCCCCAGTTTGGCTGCAGTGCCCCAGCCTGGGCTTTCCCTGTGCCAGGAGATACCCCCAGGCAGGATAATCCCCGTGGATGCAGCCCCTATGAAATCCTTGGAAGTTGATATTAGATGAGTTGTTGCAAAATCAATTAGTGAGAAACCCTGTGGGCAAAGAGCACAATTGGATCATTTTATTATGTTGCCATCTGAGCAGTAAAAGTACAGAGACACACATGGATAAGCCCATCTGAAACACGGGGCCAGGAATCCGGACTCCTGCTGCCTCCTCCTTAATCTCCCATTATGTGATCTATCTTCTGATTGCTTTTGTCAGCTCTCCAAATTTAATAACTGGACAAACCATCTTCTCCAATTGTTCGCATATAAATAAGTGTTGGATCAATGAAGAACATCTTTAAAAGCCCCTGGGATTTGAAAAATGAGGGGAGCAGGGCCTGGGAGGCAGATCCCAGAGAATGATGACTTTGCACTGCCAAAAAGCAGCATTGGAAACAAGGAGGGGGGGACAGAAAAGAGAAACCCTGGAATGAGGTGCTGTCTGGGGTGGAAGGGTTGGATCAGTGAGGGCTGAATGAGGCTTTTGGTTGTCTGGTGGCTGCTCCTCCCCTGCCCCCACAGTTTGGAGAAACCAGTGCTGAGCTTGGGTGCTTTGGGTTTTTGTAGGGATTTGGTTGAGGAGAAGGGAGTGCCATCATCATCCTCAGTGACTGCTGCAGAGGGGCTGAAGGCAGAGCAGAGCAGTCACTCTCTCAGGACGGGTTTATCTTTCTATTCCCATCCACAGCTCCCACTCCAGACAAAGAGCTGCTCCTTTGCCGGGGGGATCCTGGCACCACTGCCGGTGTCTGCCATGGCACCGTGGCCTGACTCTGCTCCCTGTCCCTCCTGCCTGCAGGAATTTGGCTGCAGAGCCTCAGCCCACACCCAGGTGGTCCCTGGCTCCCCAGAGCTCCCTGTTAGGGATCACAGGCTGCTGTTCTCCTCCTCCAGGGTCCTGTGGATTCCTCGTGGGTTCTTCCAGCATCGCTTGGCAAAAGTCAGCAGCCCTTGGCTACGGCTGCAGCATTTGAAATGATGAAAACCATGGAGGGATACACGGCCAGGTCTGTGCTGCGCTCAGGGCGTGCAGGTGGGGAGGGCTGAGCTCCTGGAATGTGCTGCACTCGGAGTCTGCGGGGGGAGATAAGCGGGGCCAGGGGCTCCTCCACGCACAGCGCCTTCAATCGCTCGCCATAAAACAGCCCCGGTGCCTCTGTCCTCAAAGAGCTGAGGGAAATGGGCTCGGTGCTTTGTAGGGAAGGAAAAGAGGCTCCTGAGACCTGGAGAGTGGCTGTGAATTATTCAGCAGGGCTGTGGTGCAGGAGTGGTGTGAGACCTGCTCCTGTGCTGGCCCAGCACCGGGGCCTGGCTGGCAGCCCCGAATTTGGGTGGTCAGGTCCAGTCCTGCAGGGTGTGGAGGCAGGAGGGTGCCTGGAGAGCCAGGGCTGGGGTCTGCACCCTTTCCCCTCCCCAGGGCTTGGTGCTTTGGTGCAAAAGGTGTTTTGTATCCCTGTGTTCCCATTGCAGGGACGAGCCTTGGGCTTCCCACTGCTTTTGGTTGCTTTGGATCAAAAAAGGAGGAATAACACCTGAGAGGGGCAGGTGTGAGCTGAGCAGGGAGGGCTGGAGGGCAAGGGCCTGGCAGGGATGGGACTCAGGATTGCTCTCCAGCCGCTCCATAACGAATTCACTGACACAGGGAACGATTTTTCCCTGACTCTGCCAATTCCGTAACGACGCTGACTGGAAGGGCCCCGCAGGGAGGGGAACTTGAACTCTGCAAAAAGCTCTTTGCTGAAGTTTTATTTAAGGCTACGTGGGGAAATCTCAAATATTAAAGGATGAAAAGCAGTGGCTGTTGGTGGGCTGGGCAGTGAGGGCTGTGGGGCAGCAGCAGCACCAGCTGTGCCCTGTTCCTGTCTCTTTTTGCCTCCAAACCCCTTTGGTTCTCCAGCTAATGAGGCTGTCACCTTGTGGGGATGGTCTCTGCTCTCCCCCCCTGATCTGGGCTGGTCTGACCCACAGATCCCCCTTCCATGGCTTTTGGGACAGCTCTGGGCTTGTGTCCCCGACAGCAGCATCGCATTTGCCCAGCTGGCCACCAGCATCTTGTCACCGCAGTCCAAGAGAAAGGACAAGGACTGAGCATCTGTGGTTTTCTCTGTGCTGCTTCTGTTTATTTCTTATTTTTTAATCCCTACTTCTTTTCTGTAGATGTCCCTGTGCTGACACAGTATTATTTATTTATAAAATATGTACAGGAAAGCGCTCGGGTACCAGCCCCACCCTCCAAGGTTGGCCGTGCGTGTCCAGCTGGAGCAGAGGTGGAAGGTGGTTTCTCTGCCTCAGAGTTGGGAGGAGGAGGAGAAAGGGAAGGGCTGAGAAAGATAGAGACTTCAAAGTGTGTGAGCAAATATTTACAGGTTCCAAGGCAAAAAAAATATATCTACAGCGTTGTCTTGGGGATAGAAGGGAGCAGGGCTGGAGGCGAAGCTCGTGGCTCCGTTTGTTCTGCTGATTTATGGGATGGTGGGTATCGATTCCTGGCGGTGGGAGCGTGGCTCTGGCACACCCCGGGCTCGGGCCTGGCCTAGGGGCACCCGGGGCCACCCTGGCCATGGGGTCCTGCTCCCAGAGGCTTCAGATGGCGTTTCGTCAGAATCCTTTGGTGCTTGCAAATGAGGGCTGGATGCTCCTGTGGCGCTCCCTTGAGCCCAGGTAAGGGGGAGGCTGGGGAGCACATTTCAGGGAGGGAAATGTTGCAGTTTGGGGTTTCTCACTGACCGCTGCTCTTTGGACACGATTTGAACATAGCAGGGGGGACAGTCCCCTAAGGTGACCTGCCCTGGCAGCTGGGGCAGGGCCCTGGGGTCCCCCTGTGACAGTGGGGCGGAGCTCAGAGTGCCCTGTGTGCTCAGGGGGGTGCAGGGGGGTCTGCACGGGGGTCGCTACGGCAGGACGTGCACAGCCAAATTCTTGTGCAGGGGAGGGGGTCGGGGCACGAGTGGGTGTGTGGCTGTTTGTTTTAGTCCCCGAGCTCGGCAGGTCAAACCCAGTTCAAACTGTCCATGGTCTATGCAGGTGATACTTGGCTGGAGGAGATAGAGGAGACCTCGGTTTTGCTCTGGGATACGGCGGAGGAGGTTTCTTCATCCCCAAAGGGGTTCTTGCCGCAGCAGATCGTGGTGATCATGCAGTTACGGAACTGAGGAGGGGAGAGAAATGAGAACATGGCACCAAGAGCCCCCCACAGCCCCTGAACTGGCTGCTGCCCCCAGAGTGAGATTCAACCCCTTCTGGGGAGGAGCAAAGTGACTGGGGTGACCCCAGATGTGCTGGTCAGCCCAGGGCAGAGGCTCACCCTACGTGCCATGGGGCATCTCACCTGTTTGTTCATGAGGACGTAGATGATGGGGTTGTAGAGGGAGGAGCTCTTGGAGAAGAAAGCAGGCACTGCCATCAGCGTGGCCGTGAATTCCGCTCCCTTGTTGGTGAAGATCCAGAAAGCCACCACGGCGTAGGGCGTCCAGGCCAGCATGAAACCCATCACCATGAGGATCACCATCCGTGTCACCTCCCTCTCTGCCTTCTGGGTCGTGGCTGATTCCTGCTGCTGGGCAGCTGCCTGTGGGCACAGTGAGAGGTGAGGGGCTCCTGCAGCGTTCCAGCCCTGCACCACCGCCCTCCTCCTGCCGAGCTGCCCAGCCTGGCCCCGTCAGGCCCCTCCCAACGTTACCTCTCGGACTTTGCAAACGAGGCGCCCATAGGAGACGAAAATGATGATGACGGGGATGAAGAAGTGGACGATGAACATGTAGAGGACGAAGGACTCGTTGTGGAATTCGGGGTTGTGGGTGTAGTAGTCGGGCCCGCAGGAACACTGCATCCCCTCCGGTATGTACCTGTCAGGGAGAAAGGCTGGCATCTGCACCTGGACCCTCCCTGGGGTGACAGAGGGCTCAGCCTCAGGACCAGACTCCCTGGGGATGGGGGATGCTGGAAGAGTGGCCCGTGCGGTCTGGGTGGGCTCCTCTGTGCCCTGTGCCCGGGCCTTGCTGGCTCTGCAGCCCACGGCTCCTGCAGGGCTGGCACCAGCCATGCCAATGTGCTGCCCTGGGCTTGTTGTGGCGCTCCCTGCCTCCCACGAGCAGTGGGATATTTAATTCCCTCTGCCAGGGCTGGGCACCGCGGATGGAGGGATGCTGAGAGCTGCTGCTGCTGCTGAGCATCCTCCCACTCACCTGGACCAGCCGAAGAGGGGAGGAGCGGCGCAGGAGAGGGCCATTATCCAGGTGAAAGCGATGCCCAGCAGGGCGTGGGTGGAGGAGAAGCGGAAGTTGCCCATGGGTTTGCAGATGACGACGTAACGCTCTATGGCCAGGACCACCAGGGACCACAGGGCCACCTCTCCTGCGGGAGGGACAGGAAGAACTCAGAGCCCCTCCGGGTTTCATCTTCCCCTTGTGGTTGTGGAGAAGAGCAGAGGGAACCGAGGGGCTGGGGATCAGCATGGGATTATCAGCATCCTAACAGGTAACTGGGGATCTCCCACCCGTAACGTGCAGAGGCTCTGGGAGCCGAGGGGTGTGTGCACCACAGTGAGACGCTGGTGGCAGAGGAGGGATCATTGTGGGGTTTTAATAAATTAAAAATCAAGGGGGTGAATCCCACCTGGGCATGAGGAAGCACAGTTTCCGGTGAGGATGCCAGATGCCTCCAAACCTGTTGATCCCTTTAAATGTGTATTTCCTGAGCCTTCTGCTGCCGCTGCATCAGGGGGAGGGGTGTGGGGGCTGTGTGGGTGGGCATGCGTGCACATGTATTTATGAGGGATAATTAAACTTTGGGGGATTGGGAGCATTTAGTGGTGCTGTAAGCCTGCTAATGCCCCCAGCTGTGATAATCTGCTGATAACTACACCCTGTGCTGGGATTCGCTGGAGACCTGCTGCTCGCACAGAGACTGCTTCCCATCCAACTTTCTTCCCTGTGAACAGGAGTCTCCTCCTTCTCTGAGACATGCAAACACTGGAGAGGCAAATAACGCTGTCCTAGGAGCCCCCAGGCTCACTCAGCAGAAATGGTGCAGACCTGTGTGATCATCTGACCCCAAGACTAAACCCTTCCTTGGCTTGGATCAGCAAATTTAGCTGCCTTTGCCTGTCAGAATATCCGTATTTTTTAAATGTAGGTATTTTCAGATCAGCGTCATTGTGGGAAATCGCCCTGTTTAGCGGGAGGAAAGCAAAGTCCTTGTGGTGGTTCTGGATCTCGGTAACAAGGACTGTTGGCTGTCAGATCCATCACGAGGTGTTGTGTGGGCCTGGCTGGCTGTGTGGGCACCGGGTGCCAAGTGAATTCTCCCTGTTTTCCACGGGGCTTTCTGCAGGGGCGAAGTGTTGGTGGCACTTGTGTCCCTGAGAAATGCCATAAGGAAGCTCTCAAGGGCACCCAAATTTGGTGCAACTAGGACAGAGCTGAGCCCCTGCTGCGGAGCCTGGGGAACCACCCTGGGTCCTCCTCCCCCTCCACTGCTGTTCTCTCTGGCTAAGAGCTGCTGTGTCTTCCTTTTGCCTCTAGATGAGCTGTGAGCCCTCTCCATCGCTGTACCTCTTCCATGGGGTTCCCTTCGTGAGGGATATCTCTTCCTGCTCTGAACCCTCCATTTTTGCCAAAAAGGGAAGCCTTTTGGTGAAGAAATAATCATACAATCGTTAAGGTTGGAAAAGACCTCTAAGAGGATCAAGTCCAGCCCTGTGCTTGGCCCGAGATATTTGGCACTGGTTCAGGGATGTGGTGTGGTCGTGCCTGGGGGGTCTCTGAGAGCCACCTTGGTGTGAGACCCCATCAATGCACTGACCAGTGTGGCCAGGTGACCCCAGCTTGGATCCTGCAACCAGCAATCCCTTCCCAGGGTTCCTTTCGTTGCCGCTGCCTGGCTGGTGATGGGGTGGGAGCTTCTTGGGATCAGGGTCAAACATGCATAAATCTGTTTTCCTCCCCTGTTTTAGGCGCAGGGAAGCAGTGCCTGCACGGCGAGCTCTGCCCCAGGCAGCGATGCGGGACGGCACGGTAAAGGGCAGGAACTGGGCTCCCAAAGCCCTGAAGGAGCAAGCCCCAGGCCCCCAGCCCAGCCCTTACCTCCCAGCGTGGCGAAGAAGCCCTCCACGGCACAGCCGGTGGGGCCGAAGATGAAGTAGCCGTTCCAGGCGGTGGAGAAGGTGACGGTGAAGCCAAAGCAGGCCATGAAGAGATCAGCCACCGCCAGGTTGACCAGGATGTAGTTGAGTGGCTGCCGGAGCTTCTTGTGTTTGAAGGTGACCAGGAGGGTGAGGAAGTTGATGGGAAAGCCGGTGGAGATGAGGAAGAAGATGTAGACGCACACGATGCGGTATTTCCAGGGCTCGGCCAGGTAGTACTGGGGGTACTCGAAGGGGCTTCGCACCACCCCGGTCTTGTTGGACATAGGCACGTAAAAATTGACGCCCTCCGTCCCGTTCATCCTGCCAACCCCGCGGGAGCTGCTCTCTCTTTGGGGTTTTCTCTAATCAATTTCGCTTCAACCCCAATTAACAAGAAAAAAAGGGAGGCGCCGCCCCTCCCAACGTGGAAAAATCCCCCAGTAAAGGATTGCCCCCCAGCCCAAGAAATGAGGGAGCTGGGGCCGGCGGGAGCTGAGGGGACGGGAGGTGGTGGCTGCCCCTGTGCCGTGCCGGGGGCTGGCGCTGCCCGTGGGCCAGGGAGGTTTTTATACCCTTGGGCCTCCTGGAGGGAGCGCGGGGGGGGCCTGACGAGGGGCTCGGCTAACTTTGTGTGACAGGGACAACGGGATTGAGAGGGGTTGATGGTTTAAGCACCCTCTAAGCAGCCAGTTGGCCCCAAAACCTGCATTAAAGAGTATTAATTGCCATTAAGTGTTTAATATTGTTTAAGGAGTTGGGGGGAGGAAGGATGGGGTGGGGAGCCCTTGGGAAGAGGAGCAAAAGTGGGAGAAGCAGTGGGGAATTTGGGAGCGGCCATTTTGGGTGACTGATATGGAAATGGGGCCGTTCTGGGGTCCAGAGTGTATCACAGGCCTTGGGGTGTCCCTGAGCAGCTGAAGGACCCCATGAGAAGATTTGGGGACCAGAGAGTGCCCAGTTCTGCCCCACTGACCTTGAGGAGATCACTGGGGAAAGACTGGATTGAGCTCTGTGAGTCTGAGTCATTGGCTTAGCTCTGTGTTTTGGGTGCCTGGTTCAGTGTGGGGGCTGTTGATGTGGATACATGTCCCCATCAGGGAGCAAATCCAGGCTCTGCTGGCAGGGCCAAGGGCCACCTCTGTGAGAGGAGATGGGCAAAGGCAGGAGGGGAAACCACTTCCCATCCCAGAGGCTGCAGTCTTGGTAAACACAGCGTTTTGGGGCAGGTCTTGGTTGTGTTACCCTAAACCACACCCTGGTTGTGCCAGAGGGTAAAGGACTTAGCAGTGATGTTCTGAATTCCCTCCAGAAAGGGTGCAGAGAGACCTGCCCAATCTGAGAGAGCAAGTGAGATGGAAAGAAGCTTCTCCCAGTCTCTCAGCACTGAATATGGAGTGTGGGATCCCCATTCCAGGACACACGAGACTGTGAAACCTTCCCAGCAGGATCAGTGCCAGCTTGGAGCACCAGTGCTCCATCTCATCCAAGATCTTCCCCATTTCTTCCTTCTGGGTCATGGGTGCTCCTTCTCCAGGGGACCTGCCTAAGGCGCCTTAGGAAGCTCTTCCATTAATCCCTGACATCTGGGGCATTAACTCCTGATCGGATAACGATGTAAGCTCTCAGCCTCCTCCTCACCACTGCCCTCCACAAGACACGGTGCATGGAAAAAGTCACCGCTGTCCTGCGGGATGAACGAGGCCCTCCTGCAAGCCTGGAGCCTCTCAGGGCCGGGGCGTGGGAGCGGAAGGCTCAGGAGGGTGGGATGGATGGTGCCCTAATCGCTGATCCGCCGGCAGAGATCCAACAGCAGCACAACTAGGACATGGCCAGAGGAAGTGGGTCACACCAGCCTCAGGTGCCCTGGGACAAGGACTCCCCTTGGGATGGCTGTGCCTCTTGGAGCTATCTCACCCCATGTCCTGTGAAACCACCGGTCATGGAATTCCTGGTTTAGGTCTTCCCTGAGGGGGAGAGCTTCTTGTGGAGAAGTGCCATGGCCTTACTGCCCATAAAGCCACTTCATGCCTCTCCTGGCCATAGTCAGGCTTCTGGATGCAAAAAATGGGGCACGTTGTTGCAGAATTAGTTGAATTATCAAAGGAGAACCCAGAAAAGCTAATCCACATAAACAGCTGTGCATCCATCTCAATTCCAGTGTGTCCCTCCCAACTTCCATGGGAGAAAGCAACTCTCTTCAGCTACAATACTTCATTGTGATGGCCCACCTTCAGAAGACTTAGACCTTGCAGTTAGCACCAGGAGCACCTGAGAGCTCTGGTGTTTCTCCAAGGTTTTGCACTTGAGACACAGGTATCTCATGGGATTGTTAGTTTTCCCCTCCCATCTCTGAGACTTCCTGCCACCTTTTTGTGTGTCCTGACTTTGCCTAGAGTTGAGAGTTGTACAAGGAAAACACAGGTAAGGGGGGCACTGACAGGTCTGGGTGCTGGCGGAAAGGATCAGCAGTACTTTCTGCAGAGGGACTTTTCCTGGCTCCCCAGACCCTCTCCACTCTCTTAGACATGAGGTGTGGTCCAAGTTTGGCTTCATGCGTGATCCCCAGGAACCTTTCACAGAGAGACAACTGCCAGCAGACCGTCCGCAAGATCCAGACCAGGATGTTTGCCTCTTTTGGGTGGTGCCAATGGGGCAGGTAAGCCTGAGTCACCCCTGCGGTGCCACCAGGGCTGTCCCTTGGCAGGTGTCCTCCTGGACTCCCCTGTGCCCTGAGCCGAGCCTGGGGTGTGGGTCAGTGCCCCGAGGCGGGTGGATTTACAGCTCTCCCCAGGTCAGCGCAGCCGGAGCGATTCCAAAGGCCTCGAATAAACCCAGTGCAGGGAAATGACACCGGCGAGGATGGCTGGTTCCTCAGGACATGTCCTGAATGCAACCTCGGCTCCTGCTGCATCTGTCACAGAAATGGAAAGCGATGGCTTTAATTTGGTGTCTCTTAGCAGGGAAACTTTACGGGCTGTTCTCGCTCCCGGAGAGCTCTCGGTTGTGTTCTGTGCTGACTCTATGACAAAAAGGCAACAGCAAATTCCAGGCCTTGGCTAATGCAGGAGGAGAGGTTTGCTGCCTTTGTGTTTGTCCTCAAGAAAAGGGTTTTCCTCCCCCTCACAGGTTTTTCTGCCTTGCCAAGTGCTTTGAGCTGAGCTCGTCTCTCATTCGTTGTTTGTTCGCGCGCTGCGTGACGGGGCCCTGAGCTGCTCTGGGCTTTCATGTCCTGTGTAAAGCAAGAGATGATAATTATAATCAAATAACTGGCTTCACAGAGCGATACAGTTGGTTGGCAGGGCTCAGCGAAAGGCAGAGCAAACCCAAGGGGAGGTGGGTTTCTGGAACCCTTTGTGGTGCCTGTCCCTACCCCTGTGCCCAGCTCTGCACCAGGGCTGGGCAAAGGCACGGCAGCCACTTGCCCAAGGGCACGAAGGGAACAACTGGCAGAGCAAGATGGAGAGAAGTGCAAAAGCATAACAAATCGGCCATGAAGCAGAAACTTGTGCTTAAATTCTGGTGCTGGGCTGAGGCAGCCCCGTGACCCTTGGCTACGAGCACAGTGCTGCCTGCAAGGCGGTGCTGAGCTTGCCTCTGTGCTGCTGACTGGTTTTGCAATGTGCTGCCCTAAATCTCCCTTCTGGAGGGGCTCTTTCCTCCCCAGTGGGCAGGAGAAGAGGGAGGAAGGTGCCTCGGGTCCCCTGGCTGCCCTGGGAAGACCCTGTTTCCTGGTATCGCATTGCAGCCACGCGCGGCCGCTGCGCTGAGCTGCTTACGCCGGACTTGGGAGCTCCCTCGCCAGGAAAGGGGTTAAGGAAAGATAAAGCCAGAGCGTTATAGAGACCATATGGAGGGGAAGAAAACCCTTTATCCTGTAATTGGATTCGCTCTGTGGTGGAGGTGAGGCTGAGTGGAGCTGACAGGCCGTGATGGGCGAGGCGCTGCCAGCCGCCCGTCCAAAGCAGGATGTGTGTGCACAAACTTGTAGATCAATCCATTAGAGTGGATCAAATAGATTTAAACGTGTGGCAGCGAGAAGGAGGACACAGATGTATTTACAATTTGGTTCAGTGGGCCCTCCCTCCCCCATCAGGGATTACCTGGGCCGTGGTAAGGGCTGTGCCCAGGGCTGTGCCCTTCAGTGGATCCATCCAGGACAGGGATCTGGGGGTGCACAGGGACCTGCTTTGTCCTGTGCCCTTGCTGCTGTCCCAGAAAATAAGGGTGCACAGAAGACTGTTTCCTGTCTCCCACCCACAAGGTTTGGGCAGGAGGGACTTCACTTCTGTTTTCCTGCAGGTTCCCCATCACCATCCTGCTCCAGTCTGTCCCCAGAACAGCCTCACAGGGGTGGATAAGCCATAAAGCAGCTGGGAACCGGGGAAAGCTGCACCATGCCAACCTCTTCTCTTGGTATTTGCAAGCAGGAAGGCCCCTGTCAGCTCCCAGGCTTTTCCTCCCTCTGCTGATCCAGGTAATGTCTCTACAAGCACCGTAGGATTTCCTTGGAGACACAGACAGTCTTTGGGCCCTGTCATTTCCTTGCCAAGGAGCTGAGCAATCCCAGCTCAGCTGTGAACCTGCTCTGCTCCGTGTGGTGCTGTCAACACTCCTCCCTCAGTGACAACCCAGGGCTGCAGCAGAGTGGGCAGGTGTGCAAGACAGTCCCCCCAGCCCTGCAGCACCGCGGAGGAGCCGCCGGCACCGCCCGGCACAGCCCGTGCTGGCACAGCCCCTGCCTGCTGGGGGCTGTACAAGGGAGCACGCTGTGCTCTGACAGGGTGATGGTGAAGATGCTCCAGTGAGATCTTCCCATCTTGCAAACTGGAGTCAGTCCCTCGCTGGACTTTGTTCTGGTTTATGGGCTATCTGAGCCAGGCAGGAGTTAACAGGGAGAGCTGGGGGTCAGGGATCTATGTCCAGCTCTTCTCTCCAAGCTTTCCTGTGCCTGACTAGTGGCAGGTGCTTGACTGCAAAGTCAGAGGGCAAAAGGAAGGCTTTTATGTAGTTCCAGAGGGATGGATGTGCCCAGACCCCTCCCCACCCTCATTCCGCAGTGTCCACTGTGCTGCTGTGGCCCAGCCTTCAGCCTGGCTGAGCAGCCAGAAAAGGGGGTTCAGGCACACAGAAACAATCCAGCTCTTTTATTTTTAATTTGTAAATCTCATTTGAAGTGGAACCCTGTTATTCCCGAGGGCCTTGTAGTGGCTGCTCCCAGCCCTCCACGGCAATGCTCTACACACGCTGCTTCGTTTTGTCATAACTGGGTCAATTTATTTCTTTCCTTTCTAATACAAGCTTTTGGTTTTCTCAGTGGAAGCCTGGAGACTGCTGTGACATGGGCAGCTGGGTTATAATCTTTTGGGAAACAGTACAGAGGAAATTTGGGGGTTGCCTGCTTGTTTTCTCTTTCCAGCAGGGTTGTTCCCTGGTGCCTGGCTGGGCCAGCTCCTCACTCCAGTGTCCCCATGGCACCATGAACAGCCAAATTGGTGTCCCTGCTCCTGGAAAAAACATGTCCTGGTGGTACTTTGGGTGTCCTGGGGAGAATCTCTCCTGTCACTGTCCTGGTCACACCTCAGTCAGCTGCAGAGCCCCATTCCCTGCCTTCTGCCCCATTCCAAGGCCCCTGCTCCTCTCGCTGGTGGCTGAGGGTGCTGCACCGCAGGTCATCTTGGTCCTCTTCTTGCTGGCCCTGCTTTAAAGCCTTTTAGGGATTTGCTCCAGACCAAATGTGTCCGTCCTCTCCCTGTGTCCTTCATCCTGTAATTGGATTCTCTTCTTCCATCCAGCCCAGGCCGGGTTTCTCCCCATCCCTTTATGTAACGGTTCTGGCTCTGGCTGTGCTGCCTGGGGCTTGACCTGCAGCAGCCAATCCCACATGGCTCCAACAACCCTTTTCTTGTGTGGTTCCTGTTCCTCTTTTGCCTCCCCCGTGGGATGTGGGCTCCCTCCAGCCTCTGTGTGGCTCGTGGTGCTGTTCCATCCCAGCAGGATCGTTCTGAGCAAGCGGTGCTGCCGGGGGAGCAGTAAATGTGAAGGGCCCATGCAGAGGAGCAGGGCACGGGCAGGATTGTCTGGAAAAATTATGGGTATTTCCATTCCTTTCATTAATATTTATTCTCCTTAATTCCCAATCTTTAGTGTTTAGCTCTCTAAAGCCTTTGTGGTTGAGAGGCTTTCGCTGAGGTTGCTATTCCATGCCTAAGCAAAATACCCACGGATTAAACGGGTATTTTATCAAATGTGAGTCCTCTGCTGGGATCAGATCTGCACAGGCTCCAGTGTCTCTGTGGCACTTTCTGTGGCTGTCAGAGTTTTCCATTTGGTTTTCCTGGCCCCACGTCCCAGCAGGGATAGGATTTTGCCCCCCTGTGGGAGCAGGAACATCATCCATCCTCCTCCTGCTGCTGTGACAGCCCCAGTGGCCCCACAAACAGCCACTTAGTGCATTTTGTGGTGCCTTTGTGTGTTGTCCTGCAGTGCTGAACCTGATCCGCTGGTGTTTGATACTGGAACAGCAGGAAGAAAGGAGGGAATGAGAAAATCAAAGGTCAGTGGGTGCCTGGAGTGTGTAAAAGCTGAATTGCTCTTCATCAAATCTAATAAATATTCCCTGTGAGCAGGGCAGGGACCTCTTTTACTGAAATGCTGAGTGATTTCCCTGCCTTTGAGCTCAGCCCAGGACTTGGATTATGGGAGATATCAGGCTCTCCCACCTCCTGCCCAGAGTCACCAGCACCCCAGAAGGACAGAGGGAGGGCACCCAGTCCCACAGGATAAGCCAGTTAAAGCCCCTCACTGTGCATGAGGCTGCATTTTCTACCATTCCTAAAAATATTCCTGAGCCTTCAAGTGAAAGCTCGGTAGCTTGGATTTGAAAACCAAAATGGTAACAGCTGAGCTGCATCCCATCATGTTTTCTCACCTCCTCTCCTTTCTCTCTTCACTTCTTCCAGCTCAGAGAGAGGATGGCAAAGGAGTGACCAAAAATGTAGAAAAATGAAGCAAGGAAACCTTTTTCTCTTGTTTATTTTGTTCCTTGATTGAGAGAATAGGAAGTGTTTATAAGCACAGAAATGTATTTTATTAGAAAAAGGGATTTTCTAATGCATTTTCTCACTCAGCCAGGAATGGCCATGAACTACCCTGAATTACACAAGAGCCATGGGGAGGAATCCAAGTGAGACCAGGCAAGTTTGGGGATGGGAGGGGAATGACTGGGCCCTTAAAATATTTATGCTGCAAATGAACACGTTTTAAGCCTGTGATTCTGCAAATGTTTATTGAGCATTAGTACTTGGAGAACTGCATTAAGATTTGCCACTGGTGCTTTACTCATTAGGAGCATTCAGAGCCTGTGAAATCTGTAACACATCCATGCAGTGACAGCAGCTGGAGGATGTGCCTGGGCTGGGAAAAGGAGGTTTCTGCTCCTGCTTCCCGAGCCCAAACTGAGCCCCTTCCCACGCCGACCTCGCTGTGTGAGAGCAGCCGTTCCATCCAGCAGAGCCTGCACCGGGTTTTGGACTCATCTGCTGCCAGGCAAAACCAGTTCCATGTGAGTGAGGTGAGACAGAGATTCCTGTGGGCTCCAGGAAAGGGAACTGGGGCCTGGTGATGTGTTCTTTCCAAGCCTGATGGCTGCTGTGGGGCTGGCAGGGCTGTGGGAGCAACTGGCCCTGCAAAAGCCCAGTCCCCCCTTCCCAGCCTGCCAGCTCCATCCAAGCAGCTTGTTGGACATTGGGGGAAGAGGGTGATGTGTCCCACGAGGGCTCTTGGAGCTCTGCTGCTCACACCCAAGCTGGAAGCTTTGCTGGGGACCCCCCAGAGCCTGCCCAGAGCAGGAGGGTGGGATTTCAGTGCTCCCCAGTCCCCCACGTGCTCCCCACCACTGCAGAGGCCTCGGGCTGGAATTTAGAGCCAGACTCATCCTGGCTCCGATCTCCTGCTCTCTGCAGCCACTTGCCAAACACCCCGAGCCCAGGGCAGCTTGGAGGGGAAAGCACAGGACATGGAGACAAATGCTCGGTGCCTCTGGCACAGGGAGCTCGTTCCTGCCTCAGTTCCCTGACACTGCAGTTGATACACGGCTTAATGGACTGCACTTCCACTGCCAGTTTCCTGGGAAAATGACTTCCAATTATGCCAAACGTTCAACTTTAGGAACAGGCAGAACTGCACCCAGCCCCATCTCGCACATCCCATTTTTGCTGAACTTCCAACCTCTGCTGCGGTTTGGCACCCTAACCCAAGGGGAGTTCTGGGGGCTGCAGGTTGCAAACTGTGCCAGGGCTGCAGCAGGATGGGGTTTTTGCATTATAATGCTGGCAGGGAGATCTCCAGCTGGGATTTTTTATTTTCATTTATCCTTGTTTTGCAGTGACAATGGGAATGTGCCAACAGCTGCGTTCGTGGACTGGGCAAACCCAGAGCCAAGAGGGGCCTGTTGCTCCCACCCACCCTGGCGCTTCCACTGCAGGCTTGGAGTCAGATCCCTTATTTTCAGCTCCGTGATTCCTTCCTTTCTGAGCACTCTTGCATAATTAAGAGGTGAGGCTGGCAGGCAACATGCAGCTAATACAGATATGATTAATTTTCATCTCCCTGTTTGATTTGGAAGGTTGTCCTTTCCGATGCCGAAGGCTCCGTCGCAGACGGGTGGAAAGCTGCCAACCAGCCACGTCTTGGAGGGACAAGGGGACAAGATATGGGAAAGTTTAGTGCTCTGGAAAAGTGACCTTCCTTGGTAACTAATTTGTCACTTCCCAGCACCATCTGCTGACTCGTCAGCTGCATCCATCATAACCGTGCAAAAAAGGACTGGAAAAGTCAATTAAAATGAGAGCTGGCGTCAAATGGGGTTTGTGCAAATTGTTTAGGAAAGGGAAGGGGGAAACCCCCCCGGTGGTGTGTGTAAAGTCCTTTCATCACCCCACGTGTGGTCCCAGGGACAAAAGCTGTGCTGACGCCTCCGGGAGTGTCACAGCGTGGCCCCAGCGATAAAGAGCAGGGAATGCCCAGGGATCTGGGAAGCGCCCTAGCGACAGACACGTGCTTGGCAGGAGGGCTCCGGCCCAAATCGAGTGTTATTGATGGCTGTGGCAGCAGCAGGCCCTGCTGGCCCCATGGGTGTTGGTGTGGTATTGACTCTGTGGTGGAGCCGGGTGACAAATGTCATTGCCCGGGCTGGGCCGTCGCTGTTCGGGTATCCTGCGCGGGTATCCAGCCAGGCAGGAATGCGGCTGCACTCCCTGCTCTCACACCCCGTGCAGCTGTTTGATGCAGGCAGATTTTACTGCCTCCCCTCATTTCCCCCTCCTGTCTCTCGCCTGGCTGCTCTCAGGTTCCTCATGCTCAGCACTGGGATGTGTCTGGCCTGATCCCAAACCCTCTGGCATCAGCTCCTGTCTGACGGTCTCGGGGGAGCCCAGAGCAGTTCTTACACAAAACCCCTCCACTCTCAGCACCTCGACTGTCTGGAGAGGGATGTCAGTGCAGGGCTTGTGTCCCCGAGGGAGACCTGTGTGCCCAGGACTGGGAAATGCTCAGTGACGATGGGGAAAGGGGACACAAGAAGACTCAGAGTGGCAACTTTGGTATTACAGTGATTTGTCAATTGCAGTGGAAATATAATTGACACAGGTGTCATTTTATTGCTGGTATATTCACATGATGAAAACTTTGTCCTGCAGGGCTCAGGATCTCCAAAGACAAGGCAGGAGAGAGAATTTCTCCATGTCACGGGTGGGGAAGCTGAGGCAGCAGGAGATCTGCCTGAGGGGACTGCCCAGCTGTGGGACCCACTAAGAGCTGCTGCCAGGCTGAAGCCAGAGCCTGGGGAGGGAGCGAAGGGGATCTGCCTGGAAACCAGAAACTCCAAAAAATCCAATGCAGATAACAACGTTCCCTGCCTGGGAAGCCTGTTTCCATGCAGGCCAGGAGCCGTCTGGCAGCTGGACAGGTGGGCACCTGCGCAGGTGAGTGACTGCACCTGGATATAAAGGGAGGCAAAGCCAGCAGGAGCACCCAGGAGGGAACAGGAGGGAGAAGAGGTCTGACCTCCAGCGTCCGTGGCTGCACTCCCCAGGTAGGTGCACAGTCCCTGCTGGCACACCTTGGTGGGGTGGGCACTTTGTGGGCACTCAGACGTGCTGGTGCTACTGACATGTCTTGGCCCCAGCAGAGAGAGCTCTGAGGGAGAGGAGAAAACAAAATTGATGCTGGAACAAAGGGGAAGGTGCTTTTGGCTCACCCCCCATCACGGTAGCATTGATTGCAGCAGCTCCTGCCTCCCTCCTTGCCATGGGCACCCAGCAGACCCCAAGGCTGCAGAGGCACAGGCAGCCCGGGTGCCCTCCGAGCTGGGGGACCTGCTCTGAGCTCAAGTGACAAAATGAGTCACAGGCAGGTCCTATTGACAGGAATGACTGGATTTTTTGGAAGCCAGCTCCATAGATTAACATCTGGTCTTGTCACTGTGCTCACACCAGCTGTTCACCCCTCCTGCCCCCAAACTGTCACTTCTCCCAGTTCACAGGGGGATGAGCAGACCTGGCACTGTTGTGCCCAGCCCCACGTACCTGTGGTACTTCGTTGTGCTGATGCTGAACTTGGGATCCTCCTGCTTTGTGTTTTCCCTTCAGAGCTGGGAATTCACTAACAACAAAGTACACTCTGCCTGGAGAGGTGCTGAGCAAGAGATCTCCGGGCTGAGAAACATGTCCTGCCTGCAAAATAAGGGAGGGCCACTCACAAATGACATTTTTTGACTGAAGAAGTGTGTGTGGGTGTTTCTGTGGGGGAAGAGGGAGCGAATCAACTCCCAAAGGGATAGTCAAGCAGAGATGAAGGTGGTGACTGGGTTTATTTCTTTGTATACAGCAATATTTTATTACAGTGATAGAACTAATCAAAAGGCACAAAAGATTGATGCTGTTGAGGTTACATGTTGCATTGCAATGGGGAGAGCCTGAGAAATCCTGTCTTGATCCCTGCAGGAAATGGTGCATCTGGTGGGACACCCAGGGCGATGTCCCAGGGCAGGGGGTTGGCTTCGGTGCCCCAGCGTGGGTGGGCAGGGGGAGATGGCTCCAGTGCTGCCCTGAGCAGTGAGGAGAGGATGTGACTGGCAGGTGCTATGGAAAGGGAATATTTATTAACTTCCACTGGCCATCGGTTCAATATCAGCTGATATTTATGGGAAATCTAATTCAGGAGTCAAATTTGACCTAACAATGTCTTTTCAATAATGTCCAAACCAAGAGGTTGCTGAAACTAATTAAGGATCAGGCTCCAATCAGGTGGAGTAGTTAAGCTTTGTGACCAGACTTCATTAAATCTGTCCAGGGAGAGTATTTTAATATTTAAAGAGAACATTTAATGTTTATGTAAGTCCTCTCCTGACGTGAAGTCACAGTTGAATCACTTCCGAAGGTGGTTTTTACAGCTCTTTCTTCCAGGCTTACAGGGACCCAGGCTGGCAAACAGCTGGCAAACACTTTTCTCTCTCGGACCCAACGAGGCTTCTTAAAAGATCCAGTCCACCAGGGTTTCCAGGGGTGAGGAACAGCAAAACCAAATTACCAAAACAGCTGTCATGGTTTTTCTCTCTCACAGCATCCCAGTCTCCCGTGCTGGCAGTGGGACTGAGGGGAGTGCTTTGCTCTGGCTGTGTGAGAGTTACACCAACAGAGTTGGAGGGCTGTGGATGGAGGGAGGCTGGAGCAGCACTGAAGGGCTGGGCTTGATGTCCCTGGAGATGGTGCTCAAGAACAAACCTGTTTACATAAACAGGTTGGAGAAGAGAATTGTCAGTCAAGACACTTCTATTCTCAGCTCAGGAGCAACTGGAAGAGTAAATATACCTCTGGTTAGCTGGGGCAGCAGTTGGAATGCAGCTGAGTCAAGGCCAAGGGGAGTTCTAGTCGAACGTCCCTGCCCACACTTACCCTGCTGCCTTCTCTCCTGTGTTGTTCAGACTCTCATGATGGTTTCAAGGAAGGTGGTTGCCAGTCTGCTCCTGGTGTACCTGGTGTCTCTGCTGGCTGAACAGGCTGAAGGCTTCATGCCCTTCTTCACCCACAGTGACTTCCAGAAAATGCAGGTAACCCTCCAAAATGCGTTGAATAATCCAGGAAAGGTGTTTCTTCTGTCCTCACCCCCAGGCTCTGCAGTGCACGCTGTGCCACTGTCAGCCCATCGCCTGCCCCTCCTGTGTAACTGCAGCCACTGTGACCCAGCCCATCCCACACTCCTCCCAAAGTTCAGGGCAATGGGGATGGGCACAGACAAATCTTAAGGTGTGAGACCAGAAAGGAAGAGCCTGGAGTCCTCTCCACGAGGCCTGATAGACCTGTGTAGGTTATCACCTGCAGCCCATGGGCTCATTTTTCCTTCCTCTGTGCCAGTGGCTGTAATTTCTACAGAGAAGCTGCAGCCTCCCATCACCACAGTGACGGGTCTTTTGTTGTAACAAATAATTAACCATCCTCCGGATGGTTGTCACCTCTGGGACGTGCAGAGAGAACGTTTTTTCTTTTGATGTGAAACTAATACTGTTGAGAAGTGTCAGGCAGGCTGAGAGAACTGCATCTTCTGAAACACAGCCCGAGTGAGCTTCCCCCGCACCGCAGAGCCCATTGGTGTCGGGAGAAATCCCATTTCCAACAGCCATCCACTCACTGCAGGGCAATCCTTCCTGTGGGGAGCACAGCCATCCCTCAGTGTCCTCAGGGAGGATGGTGGGGACCCACGCACCAGGTTGACTGTTCATATATCACAGCCCTTGCAGCTCTGTGTCTGCCAGGGACTGAGGGTCTTCTGAATGTATGTGGGTGAAATCTGCCCCCCAAACGCTGCCCCTGCTCCTCTGAGCACGTGTCTGGCGTATTCCAAAGCATCTCTGGCTTTTCCCTTTGTGCTGGGAATAAAGGGAGGGTCCTGCAGCCAAGTTTAGCCCCATGAATGGTAAGGGACTGACATTACAGACCTGCAGGAAGGCTGGTAACACACAGCCTCTGCAGAGCTCTGCACATGCCACGAGCCTGGGCAGGGCTCAGTTAAACTTCCTTGCCAGTGCCACAGAGCAGAACCAGGGCCAGGTCTCTGGGCCAGCTCAGTAAGGTCAGTGGCCTCCTCGGTTGCCACGTCGTCCTGTTGACGGTGTTACCTTGCACTGATCAACCCTGGCACTGTTTACTACAGACCTGTTTGTCCTGTTTACTACAGACCTTCCCCCTCCATCCTGTAACCCGAGCTTACCCCCAGCATGCAGCCTCTGCTGCATGGCAGCGTTTCAGTCCCCAGGGCCACGCTGGCCCTCCCCAGTGAGCTGAGGCCCTGGGGAGGATTCCACAGTGGCTCCAGGCAGTGCTGACACCTCCTGTGGCTCCAGGCAGTGCTGACACCTCCTGTGGCTCCAGGCAGTGCTGACACCTCCTGTGGCCCTGGTTCCGTGCCCAGCACTGAGGATTCCTGGCTGCTGGGCATCACGCTGCTGCTATGGTGCAGAGCGGGCTTGGGACCCTCAGGACATCGTGTCCCAGCATCGCTATCTGTGCCATTTGCTCTCTGCTCTGAAGCTGCAGGAAAAGGAGAGGAACAAGGGAGGGCAGAAGAAATCCCTGAGCTCACTGCAGCAGCTGGACGAGGAAGGCTTCCCTGAGCAATCCCCTGTGGGTGTCAGCACGGGCAAGTCCACCCAGGTATGCTGAGCCATCTGACTCTGAGGAGCCCACGAGGACACACAGGGGGACAAGAGGTGTCCTCTGCCAGCCCTACCAGGTTGCACCAGAGAAACGTTTTACCTATATATAATAAACCCTAATAAACCCCAAATATACCCTATATATGATCTTGGACGCTCAGCAGCCAGGTCACCCCTGAGACCCACCTGGCTTCTCCCTTAGGAAAATGGAACCATGAGGTTTGTCTTTGCCATTCAGTGAACCCCAGCCAAGGCCACGGCAGGAATTCCCAGCTCTGCTTCAGCTCTGGGGTTAACCTGTCACCTTTTCACCCAGCTCCAGGTGTGCTGCCCAGTGTCACCTCTGATCCCACAGTTCTCTGCACTGGCAAGACCTTACTTATAAACTTGGGCCCATACAGCTGCACTCCCCAAAGTCTGTATACAGAGCAGAAAATGGACAATTTTAGGGATTTAAGTGCCAGGCTAAGCCCTCAAAGACATGTTTGCCTGGTTAACCAAGTCTGAAAATTGTGCTTTTCCACCTGAACACAGGGAACTCTTTGCCTGTCCATGCAGCCACTCCTGCAGGGAGCTTGGCTGTTCCCAACCTGCCTCCCTCTGCTCTCCTCAGCTTTTCCTTCTGATTTCTCTGGCTCTCTCCACAGCAGGCTGTTCCTGTCAGACCTGGGATGTGGCTCACCCCAAGGCAGCTGGAAAAATACCAAGATGCCCTGGAGAAACTGCTGGCAGAGCTGTTACAGGACACCCCAGACGGTACTGTCAGGAGGCTGATTTCTGCCTTGGCAATTCTGCCTTTGCCTCCCCTCACCAGCTCATCAGCACTGAGATATTTATATTCCCCAGAAGGCCTTTTGTGTCGTGTTTGCTCACTTTACAGAGCCCTCAGATCCCAACCACTCCCTTCTGGGAAGGTTATTTCTTCACAAGGTGCTGCTTGTGCCCTAGAGCTGATACTGCCTGTCAGCGGCAGCACAGCCCGTCCCAGCAGCTCTGCTCGGTGCTGTTTGCCACTTCCCTACTCCTCCTCCCAAAAAGTCCTCAATCTTCAGGGAGCAATTTCCAGGAGAGCTTATAACTCCAGCTGCACCTGCGAGGCAGCTCAGCACCTGCAGCAAGCTTGGAACAGCAGCTCCCTGCATGGGGGCGTAACACTAACACTTAATTACACCCGAATTTGGTGCACATCCTCCTTTTCCTTTGGGCTCTGCGTGTGGGGATTGCAACAAATAAAATATCCAGGGGCAGTCTGCTGTGCAGCTATTCCTGCCTGCAGATTAAGGGATGGTGGGATGGATCTCCCCGCAGTCACATCCGCACCTCGGCCTTGTTTGGGACATTTAAGCCCAGGCGAGAGGATCCTGCTCTCCCTGAGAGGGTTGTTCTGCCTGTGCTGGTTTCAGTTTGCTTTTGAACTTTTACTTTAGGAGCTGAGGAGTGGGAAACAATATAGAAAGCCCTGAAAGACTGAATGACAAATTTAAGGACACTTGTGCTTTTCTCTTTTCTTTTTAGCTGACTGATATCTGCAGAATCAGAAGAGAAAGCGCTGGAGCTGCTAAATCTGAAAGACTCCACTTATGTAAACGAAATCTGTAAGAGATTAACAACAAAATCTGAGGTGAGATAATAAAATGCGCAGCATAATTAAACGGAGGATTTGTGTCTTCAATCCTTCGTGCTTCTCAGCCAGATGGAGATGTGTGGGAAAGGAGAGAGGGAGGGCTCTGGCTTCTAGAGAACATCCCCATCCTGATCCGCAGCTCCTACCTGTGCTCAAACCCCTCACATCCCCCCTGTGATAGGAATCTGAGCAGCACTGTGAGGAATTTGTGTGCCATGGCTGTGCCAGGCGCAGCACGTGGGAATGACACAGGGCTCTGCCCTTATTGCTGCCTCTCAAACACACCTGGAGGTGAAACTGTAATTCCACTTGAACATCCTGCTCTCCATTTCCATACCTTTGGCTAATTTTAGAGCTGCTCCTCTATGCTGGCAGCAGGAAATCCAACATATGTAAAGTAAGGATGGATGAGATCAATGGTTTGTACGTGCATATATCCAATTCCAGTCCAATTTTACCCTCCCAACCCAACACGAGTTCTGTTCTCGCTGAGCTCATTCCAATAGCTCTGTTTGTGCTGGAACAACACCCCTCGGCGTGTTCTGCCATAACCAGCCCTCGGGAGAGGAGAAATCTCCCAGTGCATAATGGAACATGCACGGTGTGGATTACAGCTCTCATGTTTGATCCAAAGGCACACTCCTTGTCCATGGACTGAGCAGCTCCAGGTGGCTCCTGCTTTTCAGGGTTTGCTGCTGAGACAGGGTGAGCTGTGAAATCACTATAATGACTCTGAGGGGGAGGAAGATGGGAAATAATACATTCCATTAGGCTGGAAGTGAGAGCAGCCTGGGCTGTTGGGCTATAGGAGCTCAGTCTGCAGTGCAGTGGTATCCATGGAAGAGCCAGCATGGAAATCACTGGAGGAGCTGCACCACATGTACCCCGGTGTCCAGCAAGAGCAGAGACAGACTGTTTGCTTCAGAGGGGACCAGAGAGACCCAAACCTTTAATCCAGATGTGATTTTACCCTGCCACAGGAAAACAAGGAGAATTTCCCCGAGGGGAAAACTGCTCCTAAACCCCCTCTGTAAGCTCTGCCGCAGTCAGAGCTGTCCCTGCAGTGTGCCCTTTGCCCAGCTCCTCCACTCCCACATCTTCCAGACTGACAGCTCCCCTGTGCCATCCAGGAAGGAAAGTTTTCCAGTGACGGCAGGAAGGAAAGTGAACATGAGCCTCTTGGATTTGCTTCCTGGACCATTTCCCACCAGGGTGATGATGAGGCTGACCCTGTGGAGATTTCCAATGGGAGATTCTCCACTGTGACCCTGCAGAGATCTCTCCCTCTGCTCTTAAACTTAGACCCAGACTGCTGGAAGGACAAGATGGATGGACCCCAACCATCGCCCCAGGCACAACTCCTGTTGTCAGGGGAGCTCTGGTTAAGAAGGAAATGTTCTCCAGGTTGCAAGACAGATGGCTATCCCTGTGCCCTGGAAGGTGCAGCAGCACTCAGACCCACCTGCAGGCAGGTAGGAAGAATTTGCTGCTCCAGAAAGCAGAGTTTTGTGGTGGGATAAGCAGCCCAACAGTTGGTGGAAAGAGGAGAGGGAATGGAGTCACCTCTGACTTTCTAATGCAATAAGCAGCTCAGCAGGGCGAGGATGGGGCTCTTGGGTCACACCTGTGCTACTGCCGTGAGTGACAGGGTGATAAATCGGCGCAGTTGGCTCCCAAGTGAGACTTGACACTTCCCTGGTGACATATGCGGGACTGTCACCCAAATGCCACGGATGAGGGGGGGGACGGTGGGGTTTCAGCAGCCCATCAGTCAGGAGAGGAAGGGCTCAGCTGCTGCCCGTGGGGTTTGGGGAGCAGCCACTCCCCTCCCCAGGCTGTGTGAACACGGTGCAGATCTATTTCTATCCCTCTGCTCACACTGGTCCTGTCGCGATGCTTCCAGAGGAGGAGCAGACGGTGCCACACGGCTGCTCTTCCCAGTTGGCATCTGAGTCAGTGCCAGCAGGTCTGAGGCAGCTTCTGGGCTCGCAGGGAAGGCGGAGGATGCCCCCTCCTCGCTGTCCCAGCTTCCCAGGATATTTACAGCCAGAAGATTTGAGAGCTACACCGGGGGCTGGGAAACTGCCTTTCCACAGCTGAGCATCGCTGAGGCTCCCGGCAGCCCCTGCTGCTCCCAGAGCCGCGAGGATGGTGAGGGGGCTGCAAAAACAGGAAAGCCACTGCCAGCCTCATGGTCGGCACTGTGGGCAGGGGCACAGGAACAAGGATTGTCCAGGGGGATGTGGGCTGAGAGGAGGAGCCCTCTCTGCTCCTGCTGCCTTCCCTGTGGCAGCCTTCCAGGGAAGGCAGGGATGCTCCCATGGATGCCAGCACTCGTCTGCATGTCTGGGCAGAGCTTCTCCAAAGCAAGAGCTGTGAGCTCACAGAATCTGCGTAATATTCTAATTCTTTATTTACATTAGACCCCGCTCCACATTATGAGCTGTCAGTGGTGCTTTGCTGTTGAGCGCAGGGGAGGCTCAGCTTAGCGTGTTCACACTTCCCCGTGGAGCTGAGTTTGCTCTTTTAATGGGCTCCCTGGCCTCTACTGAGGATTTATTTGCTGTTGCCAACCAGATGAACAAATCTCAGCATCTTGTTGCTGCTTTCTTGGATAAAATGGGGAGAGTAAGGTGAACTTTGGAGCCCTGAACAAGGAGGAGGATCCTGATAGAAGCTTTAGCGACAGGATGAAAGGACATGGCCTCAAGCTGCATCAGGAAAGGTTCAGGTTGGGCATGGGGAAGAATTTCGTCCTGGAAAGGGCTGTCAGGCACTGGAAGGGGCTCCCAGGGAGATGGTGGAGTCCCCATCCCTGGAGGTGTCCAGGGAATGACTAGACGTGGCACTCAGTGCTCTGGGCTGGGGGACAAGGTGGGGATCAGGCACAGGGTGGACTCAGCGGCCTTGGAGGTCTTTTCCACCCTCAGTGATTCTGGGATTCATGTCAGGAATGCACAGCTCAGCTCTTCCCATCTCATGGTGCGCTCCAGGCTGAGCATCCCCTGAGCCTCCCACTCCCCGTGGGCTCCACTCCCAAGGGACCACGGCCTGACCCCCACTCCGGTATCACACCTGGATCCCAAAACCAGCCAGCCCACATCCAGCCGTGCACTCCTCACTGTGCTTTCTTGTTATTTTTAATTAAATTCCGATATTACACCACAGTATTTCAGTCACTGTCATTACTTTGAGGCGGGAGCAGGGAAAAGCAATTACTGCACATCACTGCCATGCCAAAACAAATTTACAAGCCGGAGCTTGGTTTCGCGGTTTTGTGCGGTGGAGCGTGAGGGGACCCTCCTTCTGGGCAATTCTCCCTGGGCTCCAGCCCCTGATCCCCCTGAGGGTGCTGCCTGGGCTCCAGCCGCTGGCAGTGACCTGGCAGCGGTGAGGGCAATGTGTGTGGTGCTGGCAGATGCCTGGGAAAGACACATTTTTGGGGAGAACGACCCTAAAAGCGTCGTAACGTCGAGGTGAGGTGGGAACCGCTCGAGGGGGGACAGCCCATCACTGTCGCGGGCAGTGACACAGGCCGACCCCAGCGCTGAGGCTGCTTCTGCTCCATTTCTCGCCCCTTTTCCGCTGTGCCGAGGGGAGCAGCAGCTCCCGCCGCCCGTCCCCTCCGCTCCCTCAGGGAGCGCCCTCCCCGACATGGCGCCCGTCCCGCCTCCCTTCCCGGACCTTCCCAAGATGGCGGCGCCGGGGCGCGCGGGGCCCCTCCCAAGATGGCGGCGGCGCTTCCCGCCCGCGGGGCGCTTCCGGCGGGGCCTGGCGCGGCCATGGCGGAGCTGACGGACGCGGAGCTCCGCAGGGAGCTGCTGGCGCTCGGCTACCGCCCGGGGCCCATCACCGCCACCACCCGCAAGGTCTACGTCAAGAAGCTGGGCTGCCTGCGGGCCGAGGTGGCGGCCGCCCGGCGCAGCGGCCGCGCCGCGCCGCCCAGCCCGGGCCGCTCCCCCGCTGGGCCGCCGCAGGCCTCGCCCTCGCGGCAGCGCTCCGGCTTCACCCGCGACAGCGAGGAGGAGGAGGGGGACGAGGAGGAGGAGGAGGAGGAAGGGGGGCAGGCGCCTGCGTCCCGCTGGGGGACGTCCGGGGAGGGCGGCGGCCAGGCCTGGGGGGACCCACGCGGGTCCCCGCCCGGCAGGGGCGTCAGGGCTGAGAGCGGCCTGTCCCGGGACAGCCTCGGGGGGCTGAGCCCCTCGGAGCGCTGGGGGACGGCTGTGGAGAGAGGAGGGGGCGAGCTGGGGGCGTCCCTGGCCGGGCCTGGGGGGCTGAGCTCCCATTCCCAGTGGGACACGTCCATAGAGAGGAGCGGGGGGCTCGGGGGGGGGTCTCACCCGCCCCTGGACGGGCTCGGGGGGCTCGGCCCCTCGTCCCACTGGAGCACGAACGCAGAGAGGAGCCGGGGGCTCAGCACGGGGCCGGGGGCCGCCCTGGATGGGGTGCGGGGCTCCTCGCTGCAGTGGGGCACGTCAGCAGAGAGGAGCGGGGGGCTCAGCAGCGGGCTGAGACCCACCCTGGACAGGTTTCGGGGGTCCGGCTCCGCATCCCAGTGGAGCCCGTCAGCAGAAAGGGGCGGGGGGCTCGGCTTCAGGGCTGGCTCGGGGCAGCCCCCGGATGGGGTCGGGGGGCTGAGCTCCACGCCCTACTGGGGCTCCTCGGCTGGCAGGAGCGGGGGGCTCGGCTCCAAACCCCTTCCCAGCGAGGAGAGCGGGGGCCTGAAGTCCAGGAGCCTTTGGGGCACGTCGGGAGCTGGGGGCCAGAGCTCCCGGGATCCCTGGGACACGGCGGGGGAAAGGAAGGGGCTCTCCTCCAACAGCTGGTGGAGGCGGGAAAGTGAGGTGACCCCCAGCACCCAGTGGGGCTCCTCGGCGGCCCCCGGGGGGTTCAGGCAGC